AGCCCCTTGTGCATTCAATTATCGTTCGCCTCGCAGTTGGCCATTGTCTCAGGCTCCCTGTCCGCAAATTCGCAAAACTAATGAAGTGCTGCAGCTCCTTGAGCAGCTTGCTAATGCCACTAGAGTCCTTTTTCCCCAGTCCCCTTCTGGGGACTCTGGACTCACCGACTCACGGACTCATGGACTCTTGAACTCTTCAGCCACTTGGCCGCATGTATAAGCATGTTTTCTGGTTTGCTTCACAGACAAAGCTTAGAACCACTTAAGAAAATCCATTCACAACCTGAAACTAACTAGAGTCCTGGCCATCCTGCCGTTGGCTCTGTCGGTGTGTGTGTCCTGCAAAGATTTTCGAACGCTCCGTCTGAGGTTTGGCCCCTGTCGTTTTTGCTGGCAAAAGAAAGCTCACCTGATGATGGTCCCAAATCAACATATGAAGCAAACAACAAAAAGGATTAAGTCCAAGACACACACACACACACATACACAGCCTGTCCTCATGCATAGTTTTACATGTCTAAGGACAAAAAATGAATTTATTGCGCAACAAAAACAAAACTTGAGACAATTCCAAAGCCTAACCCAAGAGGCCGAGGCCAATTTAGCAGCTGAGATGGGCCGAAATGCGGGGGTTTGGGCAAAGGATTCAAATAAATTACCGCTACGGGCCATACTTATTTCATTAGGATTATTTTTGACTAACATTTACGGGCACCCAGTCCCCCATTACTCCCGTCCCTTTGAAAAATAATTGGAGGGTAGGCGGGATGGCAGGCGATTCGAGTCAAAGGATTCCTGATTTCCGGCTATATCCGACTGGGCGGATTTCGATTGGTTCGACGTTGAGGGCGCTAAACGCGAACAGTCAGCGATAAAAAGAAAGAAAATGCCTCGCGGCATTAATTATAATCCGCTTAAAAGTTTCAACATGTTTTCCCAGCCCCAAAAGCCCTATTCAAAAAACACGAATACAAATACGGCGGCACAAAAAAAGTGCAAATCTCAAAATACGCCTCTGACTCAGAGGAAAGGCCACGAAGAAGAGGGCCAACTCAAATGCAAAGTGCCGATTTTTCGCATGTGCACAAGTGGAACTCGGAGTGCTGAAGAGCATTGACTCTGATTCGGAACAAGAGGACTCATGGGGGTGAAAGATCAGTCCAAGGGGCAGCTCAAAGACCCTCGACTTACAGCAAATGCGATTCGTAATCCTTCGAAGGGAAACAAAACGACGAAGGTTGGCATCTTTATTCCAAAACATGATTTGATGAATACTTTTGTAGGTGGTAAATAAAATGCATAAAGATTGAAATCATTTTAGAAACTTCCTAAACACTAAAAAATAGTGTTCAATAAAATTGCAAGCATCACAAAAAAGTGTCAGAAAAATATTTTAAAATTATTTATTATCATCAGTGTTGATTAATCCTCCATAATAATTTAGGTATTTATTTCTTAGGCTATAAAATCATTCAAAATTAAGTCTATGTACCTTCATTGGTGTATGTATTCGCCATCATTCTTTGTTACTACATTAATACATCATTTTATTAATGTAAGGAATTTGTTAAAAAGTTATCAACTGTAAAAAACATTTTCTGATGATTATATGTATTTGAAAATTCATTTATTCTTACTTCAATAATACCTAATCTCACTCTCTACAAATAATAAATGATCCAAACTAATTGGCAATCCTACTTCGATACCCTGGCAATTTACCACCGTGACCCCACGTCGTTTTTCTATAGCTAATCTTTCATTTCCTAGGTATTCAGTATTCCTTTCGCAGAGTAAAGGCAATTGTTAGGTAGCTTATTTTGCTTGTGTCCTGGGGCAAGGGACCAAAAAACACCCGAGGCAAGACGCAAACCGATTTTCATTTTATTGTCCTGTTTAATATGTTTGTTTTTCTTTTGAAAATGCAGCGGGGCAGGGAGTGCAGGGAAAGCAGGGAAAGCGCAAGGACTAAGGCAAGGATATGTTCAGGGAGCCAAAGGTGTGAGATGCCAGCCAAGCGAAAGGCTCATGCGGGTGTGTGTGTGTGTGTGTGTGGACTTTCCTTTGTGCCAGTGTGTGTGTGTGAGTGGTGCGTTGGGGAAAGTTCTTAAGTCGCTCCGAATGCTGCTGAAGCTGCCGAGAGCTGTCAGAGGCATTATAAATTAAAATGCACGCATTAAAAATTCTACTAAAAAAGAGTTTGCAATTAAGTAGGACTTAAGTTGAAGTGTAAATAAAAATTCACACACACACATACACACACGCACACGCGTGCGGATCCCTTGAGATGCTGGGCGAAAAGGACATGGAAATTGGTTTTCTGGCGTGAAGTGAAGGAAAAACTTGTGGCAATTTCCTTAAGACTATTGCTTAATTTCCGGTCACTCCTTCTTGCAAACAACCACCCACTTGCCACCCCATAAACACACACACGCTGGTCGAGCGAAGCCTACTTAAGTCCCTTAAAATCCTTGAGATTTTTTGCACTGGTCAAGCAATGATAAGCAAATTTCCCAACAGTTCACTTGGCTTAAGACCAACCCTTCCCCCCACTCCGCCTCCGCATCCCTTTCTTCCAGCTGCTGCTCACGTGTCCGTTCGGGTTATTAAAACTTTTGGTCTGTTGAAATTTTAATTTTCCTAAATACCCAAATCACTCAAAATCATTTTAATAAGTAAATTATGAGCATTCTGCCTATAAATAAACAATCACACAATTTATTCCATCGAAAAAGTCGAGAAAAGACTACAAATATTCGCCAGGCCGAGAAGGATACTTGAGTAATCCTTTGCAGTCACCTAAATAGCTCTGCCCAGCCGACTTTGTGTGCGTGCGCATGTAAGGATTAAATCGTTTTGATGTCCTTGCCAGGGCAATTTATAATTATTTGTTTGCCTCGGCCTGTGGTCAGCCAATTGGTCAATTTCTTAGATGAAAGTCGAGTGGATAAAACTTTCCATTTGCCCCATGGACCCCCCACCCCCAATACTTTATGCACATGATGTGTTTCTGGAAACTTTTCAAAAGATTATAAGTCTCCGGGGTTGTAGCGAACCCAAAAAACGGCAGATATAGAGGGGAAAACTGCTCGCGGCAGTTACCTTCGCTGCCATTTTCCGTGAGCTGGGAATTTTCCAATTTCGGTTGATTGCGATGACTGAACTTGATTATTTCTGCTGCCATCGATGCAGGTTAATAAATCTTAAGCCGCGTGGCGGTTCGCGGGGCTGGATGCCGTCTTAGCCCCTGGAAAGTAGAGTTCATTTACAAATCGTTTGTCGGCTTAATGGGGGAGCAGGGAGCAGGGAGCTGGGAATCGGGAGAAGTCGCAGGAGTCGTCTGTCTGCCGTGCCAAGATTTAATGCCCTCAAACAGTTTTCCTCCCGCGCTTAATTCAATTTGTTTTGGCCCGCTTCGACTGTCTCGATTACTTACCATTTTTCCGTTTTTTTTTTGCCCTGCTGCCAGTGCCACTGATAATGCTAATAAGGATAAGCTCTGTCTGCCATCGTTGGCCCGGGTGACTTAAAGCTGCTGATTCCGGGCCGCCAGTGGTGGCTGGTCGCGGAAATGCCAGTTGTGATGCAACAATTAGTGGGTGCTCCGTGGCTCTGGGCGTTCCACTAACACCACCGCACACTAAACGCATCTGAACGACCCACTTGCTACCCACATACATATGCAGGTGGACGAAATCCGCTTTTGTTTTAGCCCCATCAAATCATGGCTCCATGGATAATGGATATATTGAGTTTATAATACGGCTGCCCGCCCAGTCTGCACAACCAGTTTGCATGAAGGGAATCGGACCGCTGCGCTAATGACCAATTTTTGGGCGCGGGAGCCGCCGTAATTCCAGAACTTTCGTGGTTGGGGGCCTAAACAATGCGTTTTGTGGATGGATAATAGAGCAGTAACCTAATATTGTTCGAAACTCGTCGTTTTGCGTTAACAATTTTGGTTCAATTCGAATTTATTGAATTTAATGGGATCATTTGCATAACTTCCCCTTCACTTAAAGTTCTAGAGTGCTTTACGGCCTGATCTGCGCCGGTGACAAACAATGCATTATAGTTGAATTCTTTATTCCTTTTCAACTCGGCACTGCGCACACATTGGCGAGGCTGATGTATTTATTTTTAATGCCAATGGCCCCAATGAGGTTTTCATGGCAATTAAAAGATTTGCATGGCACACACACACCTCCCACAAAAATATGGCATGAAAATCGCACGTAATTGGGCTGAACTTTTGGTTGGTCCGATTTCCCGTGCACCACCCCCCTCACCCTCCCACTTCCCCATCCCCCACAGCGGTTCTTTAAAACGCTTCCAGCTGCCCGGACCCGGCAAATGCCAATCGTTCGCCAATCTCTGGCTGCTTACAATTTTTATAATTGGAATAATTAATAATACCATTATGTCGGCCGGACCTGGGGCGTTAAGCCTATTTGCAGTGTGCCCCTCAACCCCCGAAATTGCCAAATGAGGGCGGAGCCACGCCCCCTGCGGCCATGCGAATATGTCTATAACTTCTATTTTCTGAATTTTGCCATTTATTTTAAGCCTTTCATAATTGGTTAGCAGGAGAATTACGCAAGTTTTGGCGGGCAATGTTAAAAGGAAGAGCATAATTCATAATTTCAAAAATGTGTTTTTCAAAATTTCAAGTTCTCTCTGCCTGTTTTTTTGGTTGGTTTTACTTTTACCCATCCCCGCGATTGGGAGGTAATTTAAGCGGCTAAAACCATTTGCGGCTAACCGCAACATGCAATAATTTATTTTAATACTTTAGTGCGTGCGGAGGTGTGGAGCAAATCTGCATAAAATTCACCATTGCGAATATGTTTTAATTGCTTATTTTAATTTGTCGATGATTTGCACTTGGAACTAGACTGAACTAAACCGATTATTAAACAGCTCTCGAGCGTGTGGCAGCGTGCTATTATTATTAGTATAATTTCTAACCGGCCTTTCCCGCTTTCTCCCTCTTTTTGCAGCCAAATCACTTCCACTTCACTGTGTGGTGGAGTCGGTGCACTCGCTGCACGCCTCCCTCACCATCGACACTCGCCAGCCCTGGAAGCGGAGGCCCAACATCGAGACGGACAGCTACGTGATCATCGCCGCGGCCACGCCCTGGAGCGAGATCGTCCAGACGGCCCTGCAGAGGCTGGGCTACTCGCAGGAGGTGGCCAACACAGCCAGAGGTGGGTAACCAAGCTACCTTTTCTCTTTCCCCGCAAAAATAGCCATAAGAAATCTCTAGATATTCATTATTACGCGAGGGTGGTCCGAAACCGACATCCCCCTGAACTCACGATCTTTAGCTTTCACTACATGAAGAAGTGTTATATTCGATTAACAAATTTATCAATCCCAAATTCAAAACCAATAAAATTAATTAAATATTATTAAAGATGTTAAAAAAATACTTAAATATATATAGAAAAATGAATACAAGTTGAATGAGAGAAATTTTGTCTTAGTTATTTAAACAATTTAATTCATGCGATACTTACAAAAATAGTTCCAAATATGCTTGGAAAAAAAAAGAGACACACAAAAGAAGTTTTGTTAATAGTGCTAGCTTTAACTGTTCTATCCTTTTTTTTGGCATTGGAATAATTTATTAACACGTTTTGATGTTAGCAAATCCTTTTCAATATAAAATATATCCAAAATCGAAAGCTAATTCGTTGGTCTTTGTCTCCCCGCAGGCTCTTTGATAATCAAACACTGGAAGCCCATTCCCTTGGAGCAGATATCGGACAACCCAGCGGTGCCAGTCAGCGACATCGTGGGCGAACTGACCTCGGTGATCACCCTGAGGATCGTGATCCTGCGGCCCAAGACGTCGCCGTTCGGAGAGATCAAGGACAAGCTGCTCAAGTTACTAGTGCTGCAGTCGCATGCGGTACTCCGCTCCACAGGATGCCCACTGGATGAGGTGAGTTCCCGTTCCCGTTCCCATTCCCGTTTCCGTTCCCCCCACTTCGGCAGCCAATTAGACATTCACTTTGAACTTTCACTTAAAATTCTGCACTAAGACGACAAAATTCTATAATGATTCATAAGCGGTTTATGGAGAACTTCCCCTATCCCCATTCCACTGGCAAACGCTCTTATCCGTCTTGGAGTTGCTAAAACTTGCCGAAAAATGTCTCCGGATGAGAAGTGGCGACGCTAATTTGCGTGATGTGAGGCATGAACAGAGAACACACAGATACACACACACACACACACACAACTTTTGCATGTCCTGTCTGCCTGTGGAATATTAAACTCATTGAAAATGTTTTGATAGCTACTACAAAGAAATTTTGTTAAGCCGAGTTCATTTATTTGGTTCACTTAACTAATCCTTTTCTGCAATAGTTTTCATTTTAATCAGCTTTGCGTTGCCAACTCCTGGTCCTGTCTCCAGGATGTGTGTGTGGCTTTTGTTTTCCTTACTGAAATCGGTTTAGCAGGCTTAGTTGGCGTTCCTGCAGGGGGGGGGATCCCCTGCACTGCTCACATGACCCAATTCAGCGGGAGGGGGTGCGATATCGGTGCATTAACGCCATAAATCAAGCGACACTACACTATCGCCGGCGATGAACAACACGAAATCACGGCCAGAAATACCCTTCAATTGATATTGCGACTGCTATTTTATTGGACCCCCCACCCCCGACCATCCACCCCCTCCCCCCTTCCACGATTAATATTATTAGCAAAGCAAAGTTAGGCAAAGCAAAGCAAAGCAAAGCACGGCAGTTGTCGTCCCTCCTAATCACATGATAAGCATTTACCATAATTTCCACATTCGTTGTCTGACACCTCCGGCCCATCGCGGTTCTCCAGTGTCCGCGGAGGAGCTTTGGGGTGCGGCGATAGGAAAATCAATTTAATAATACCCCGCCACGTAAGAAGCGTCAACCCATTTTATTTACAATTAGGTGTCCCACCCCCAACCCCACCTAACCCTTCGGTCCGCCTGTGTTCTGAGCAGCTTAAGTGATTTGGGGCGCCTCCTTAGCTGATAGCGAGGTGCTGGCAAAGAAGAGCAGGGACGGGAAGGCACCTCGGAATCACCGAAAGCACCAGACATTATCTTTCCATAGTTGGGAGACAAAAGCAGTATCTATGAGCATTTAATACGCCATACCACACCGTGCCGTACCAACTCATCGCATTTCGATTCTATTTCTGCTGGGTAAATTCAATTTTAATCGCCATAAGCTGATGTGTCGCTGCCTATCAGGGACTATCTAGTTATCGCCTTCGATTCGAGGCACTGTCTGTTAATATCAGCTCGGCGGTATCAGTCCCCAGGGTCTATATCGTAATAGGCAATTTCGGACTCCGACTCGCACTCGCACTCGCAGTCGCACTCGCACATTTATGGCTAAGTAAATCCCGGCACTTGAGGCCCCCGGACAACCCCGTCCGCTTACCGGCGACTGTGATTTTTATGACAGCCGCTTAGTGACCGGCGGACTCTGGGGTCTTAGTGCGCCTACCGCTCCTGTTGACAGTCGCTCAAGGTTGCCACCGGTAATCCCGTGCATTTCGCTCTGATTTCCACACGGAACTCAGTTTTCGAAATTGCCCGATGATCGAATCGGCGGTTTTTCACATAACCACCGTATGACTACCACGCGTGGCAACACATGAACAAGGAAATCTAAATTAAACAATCAGGCCATTGGGGAACCCAAAATGTTTCCATTAATTTCGATGTGCATGACACATGCTTTTGCACAATAAAATCTAAGATTGGTTATGATAATTCTTCGCTTTAAAGTGGACAATATTTTAATTTCAATTACAAAAGTAAACATTTTTTTGATTAACTAGCTTGAGCCCTTAAAATATTTTACAAAATGTTTCCATTAATTTCGATGTGCATGACACATGCTTTTGTACACCTAAATCTTAGATTAAGAATTTCGTTGCTTTAATGAGGTCACATTTGTATTATTCAGTATAAAAAAACAATCAGATTATTATATGAAATTAAATTATATAGTGACATCACACAATTTTTTTGGATTAGTTAATCTAAGTTTCATAATTAGACAATTGAGGAATCTTATTTATGTTTTTATTCTCAAATATAGTTTAAAATTGTATGACTCATCTTTTTATGACGTTTATTCGTCATAAACAATATCAAATGTAATGAAACTAAATTGCCTTTTGAAATGCTTAAGAAACATAACTTGTATTCTTAACATAAAAAAGTGAATAGTTTATATAAAATAATGTATTTAATTTGTAATACTTATAAAGTCCTTAATACTGATTCAAAAATCATTACTGTTATTTATTTCCAGGTGACGCTGTCCCAGATCTGCCGTAGCTCCCACCAGAACACCTACGCCCTGCCCGGAGGTGATATCTCCGACGAGCTGCGTCGCAAGTTCGACCAGTGGTGGTCCAACCAGCTGTCGCCCCAGGCGGCGGCCATGGCGCCCAAGATGCTGCCGTTCATGACGGGTCCGTCGGCGGTCCCAGTTCCAGTGGCGGTGCCCGGCGAGATGGACTTCCCAGTGGGAACGGCCATGGCGGCGGCGGCCGCTGCAGCGGCTCATGCGGCCGCTGCCGGGGGGCGGGGGGCGGCAATCCGCTGGGATCGATGGGCAGCCGGGAGAGCCTGCTGCTGGCCAACGAGGCGGCCCACCATGCGGGAGCGGGCCAGGCTCCGGGACCGGGTCACCACGGCAGCATGCTGGTGCACCCCATGCACGCCTCCATGCACCATCATCACCACCATGGCGGCGCCGGCGGCCATGGACCACCATATCCCAACCAGAAGACTCGCATGCGCACCAGCTTCGATCCCGAGATGGAGCTGCCCAAGCTGCAGAAGTGGTTCGCCGACAATCCGCATCCCTCGCGCCAGCAGATCCAGACGTATGTGGTGCAGCTGAACGCGCTGGAATCGCGGCGGGGCAGGAAGCCGCTGGACGTGAACAACGTGGTCTACTGGTTCAAGAACGCACGGGCGGCACAGAAGCGGGCGGAGATGCGCGGCGGGAGCCTGGGCAGCGCGATGAGCGCCTTGGGGCACGCGGCCATGAATGGCTACCTGAGCCAGCATGCCCCTTTGGGGCAGAACTCCAGCAGCAGCGCTGGGAGCCAGCCCATGAGCATGGGCAACCTGTCCATGTCGCACGACTATCTGAAGAGCCCGCTCAGCCTGAAGTCGGAGGACATCGACACCATGTCGCAGCACTCGGACGACATGGACGAGGAGCAGAGCAGGCCGAACACGCCGCAGCTGCCGCTCTCGCTGACCACCCACGAGCGGCACCGCAGCTCGCCGCTGATGGATGAGGACGAGGAGGAGGCGGGGGAGCAGCAGCAGCGGGGGCAGGAGGCCAAGAGCGACGGCATAAATGGCAGCCTGAACGAGGAGGAGCGCCACGACAAGTCGCGGGATGAGCTGCAGGACAACGAGAAGGAGAACTCCGGGGCGGAGGACCGCCACCAGGACACCGATCCCCAGATGGAGGGCGGCTCCAACCTCAACAACAATAACCACAACAACAGCAGCTCGCACAACGACCCCGAGGTGAGCTCCACGCCCAAGCGCTCCACGCCCAAGGAGGAGGACGACGACCTGGACATGGACGAGGACGAGGAGGACAACGAGAACGACGCCAGCCACCTGGACGAGTTCAGGTCACCATCGCCGGACTTGGCCGGCGGCGTGGTGCCGCACAAGGACCAGCTGCCCTTCCCCATGGTCCCCAACTCGATGTTCTCGCAGTCTTTCATGTACATGAGTCACTACATCCCGGCCTTTGGCCAAGCGGCCGCCGGACATCCGCACCATCATGCCGCCGCCGCTGCGGCTGCAGCCGGAATCCAGCCGAACGCCTTGATGGGCGGCGGCGGCCTGAACCTGTCGAGCATCTCGAACGAGGAGCGCCGCAAGCGGAACCGCACCTTCATCGACCCGGTGACCGAGGTGCCCAAGCTGGAGCAGTGGTTCGCCATGAACACGCATCCCTCGCACAACCTCATCCTCAAGTACACCGAGGACCTGAACACCATGCCATACAGGTGAGACCTACTCCTTTATATCCTTTTTTCAAAAAATGTTGAGATTGATTAACGTAAGCACAACCTTTTTTGGTTAAATAAATAAATATTAAACATACTTCAACTACATACATTTGGCCTTAATTTAAAAAACAAACATGAGATTTTGCTTCTCTTCTTCAACCTTACAACATTTACATTTAATGGAACATTTTCTTGAATTAAAAAAGTTTTCTATTTTTAAGAATATTTTTTTAAATTATATCACGACCATTGGCTTGAAATCCAGAGCGAGTTTTATTTTGTATCATATTGAAATCTCGACGGTTTCCTGTCGATAAGTAATTTTGATATTATTTGAGGTGAAAATTTTAATAATTCGAAATCTTTGTTAATATATATTTTTTTTGGTTTTAGAATAAATAAAAAAATATTAAATATGTTTAATAAACTTTGAACTTGTTTGTTTGTTATTATAATGTATCACATTGAAGTGTTGCGAACTCAAAGCATTTTAATAAGAAAAAGTTTCCAATGAATAAGTATTTTTGGTAGTTCTCTTCCTGTACTTTATGACTTACCTAGTTATTTTGACTAACTTTTCCGCTTATTTTCTTATATTTTTTCAGGCAAAAGTTCCCGCGCCTGGAGAGCAAGAATGTGCAGTTCTGGTTCAAGAATCGTAGGGCCAAGTGCAAGCGGCTCAAGATGTCGCTGTACGACAGCAACCAGTGCGCCCAGCTGGGAGGACTCGGCTCCTTTGTGCCCAAGTACGAGGAGCGGGACTAGACTGGACCAGGATGAAAGGCACCCTACCGGAGTTTGAAATCAAAATTAGCAGCATTTCTTCTTGTAAATAGTCGACCGAGAGACACACACACACACACACCCCAATTTAAGCAGCTCAAATCTGCGGCTGCAGCTATGACAAATACTATACCATATACGATAGCTCATAAATATGTAATCCCCTAGTGTAGTCCACTCTAAGTATTATAGAACGAGAACTAACCCAGTTACGCGTTACCAGTTGCCCAGGAGCATCTAGCGAAAATTAGAGCAAATAGATAAAGCCACTTTACGAGTAATTCGATCTTGCATGAACCAGTATGACTAATTTATACCCTATCCAGTATACAACTCTCTGCATCTATTTCTACCTAGTTATTAGCCATTGATATAGAAAAAGGGCGGCACTATTAAAGGCCAGCTCGTTAAGAATAAGCAAACCAAAGAAAGCCAATTTTCGAGAACCGCGATCTGCGATCTGCGATCTGTATATAATGTATGTTATCCTAGGTACGCATTCTTTGAGCATTGTGAATTTTGTTTCGGCTTTAGTTGCATTTGTATCTGCAGATTAAGTTACCGTTTAAGTTTGAGTTGAACCAGTACGTTTAGTTTTAGTTATCCTGCCTTATTTGAGAAGCCCCTGCCCGAGCCTAGCACATATCCCTTTCGATCCATGCACACGGATATCGCATATAGAATGTATAACATACGATTCGTTGCTTTCGAAGTCTTGGTATCTAATACCAACCCCCAAAAGTCCAGAGACCCAATCAGCTTCGGTTCGGATGAAACATGAAACCTTTGTTGCTATCCATCCACTCCACTTCGAACGTTTCGATGGAAACACGTAACTAAATCTACACACTGAAATAAAAATGTTTTATAAATTGTTCCATTAGTTTCGTAAGCCTTCAGATAGATAATAAACTTAATTCAAATAATATTGTAATTTATTGCAAGCATCAATACGCCGACACACACAAATAACACAGACAGACATACAGCGAAAAACATCCACACATCTTTATATATAATATAAATAGAAATATATTCCCCAGCAATTATTAAATGATTAAATAAATACAATTTTAAATGTCAAATTCAAACGATGTGTTTTTATGGCGATGAAAGGCAGTGGGATGATGGCTAAGCAGATAAATGTCTGCAGCTGAGATTAATTCATAATTTCTAAAGGGGCTTAAGTGACTTTGGCAGATTGCAGCCAAATTGAAAATGATAAGAAGAAATTTATATTCCATCAAGTGGAGCTGCTTGAGAATGTTATTGCCATCGAAATGATAAGCTTTTTGAGAACTAAAAAAGCTTTGACTTAGCTAAAATCAGAAAAGGTTTAAGGAAGTCGGATTTTCGAACCAAAAAAAATGGTAGAAGTTCTTAAAAGTAAAGAAAAAGTTGTAAAAATTTTTCCAACAACGATTTTTAAGTTATTTTTAGTAGGAAGATCTTGATTTTCTGGGCAAACACAGTTCATAAATTTGAATGGAATGCGATGCACTATGGCTAGAATGGGCATGGTGATATCCTTATTTCTCATTTTCTTTTCAGACGCCTGGAGCTAATGTGCTGCTGCAGTCGTAATGTGTTTGGCAATTTCTCATATGTGCCAGATCTTTGCTTTATTTCTTTCGCTTTTTTTTGTACTTTTTTGGTAAGTCACTGATAAGCAAAGGGGAAATAAATATGCATATGTACGGCAAACGAAGAAAAAATGGCAATTTGAGCGGCACATTTAGCTTCGTTTCGGCGTGAGTTGTGGCACGGGGCGTATGAGTTATCTGCCTCGCCCGCCTTGCCACTTCTTGGCCGCAGATATGAAACAATTTATTAGCGCCAAAGTTTACTTATTTTCATTTCTTTATTTCGCTGCCTTTGTTACATCCCGCAGACATTCCTAGATAGCGATGTATGTATATTTTTTGGGGGTTGGGCTCTGTGCGGTTACTAAATCAGCAGTCAACATTATTTCTTATTTTTAAGTACACGTGTGGGTGTGCTGGGGATGTGCATCATTTGTTATCGCAAACTTTTAAATTAAAATTGCGGGAAGGAGTGAGCCGAGCCAGCTAGAGTACAAATTTATGGCATATCTTTGGGCGGCAGCATATTGGACTAGCTGCTTATTTATGGATTTCGTAATAAAGTGCGAAACTGTTGCATACTTCTGCGCTGAAGAGAAGTAACGAGATTTCTAATGCATTTAAAGGAAAGTACAAACTAAACTACACTGTAAATCATTTGAGGAGTCTCCCTTCTCGAAACCATAAATATTTACTCGAAATATTTAATTCCCGACCACCAAGCTCCTTCTAACTGGGAAAACCCTCAGTGGGATGTACGAAAATACCGCATAACTTTATCCATTAATTAAAATTGCCAGCACTTTGCACCGCTCGGCGTGGTTGGTTGGCTCACGAATGAAATTACGGCCACGCCCACTCTATAGCTCCAACTGCAGGTCAGAATGGAAGTCGGTGGGCGGGAGTTACTCGGTTTTCGGGCTTTCGAGGGGCATTAAATGTAAATATACATAAACAGGAGGCGAGCGGAAAAGAAAACATTTACATAGTTAACTACGCCGCACTTGCGGCTGCTGGCCAACTTTTGAGATGGCTCAAAGGCGGCTCCTCGGCGGAATGGCAGCATAAATCTTGCTTTCGAAAACTTTTTCATATGGCCTTAATGACGCCAAATGGGGAATAAATCTGAATAATGCAATCATAATTAAGTGCTGCTCAAGCCACTGAAAATACCTGTACATTGAAATATCTATCGAATTCTGCTGGAGATCACTGCGCCATTGGAAGTGCGGTTTGCCAAAAGGAACCATTAGCCATCAAAGACAAGTTTCTTGGCGGCAATTAGAGCGCCCCGAAACAAAAAGGACTCTCGCAATGCCAAAAAGGACAAAGGGGGCGGAGGGGGTGCGGAAAAGGAAAATAGCCCAGAAGGGTGGGACATAAATAGTTTTGCGGCTTTGACTGATACGCGGGGCAATAAAACTAATGAGCGTGCGAGCCAAAATAGTTGACAGTGGTTTGGTTTTGGTGGTTGGTACGCCGGTGGCTTGTTCTAGCCACACACCACCCACCCTTCCCCCCACCCCCCTCGGTTGGTGGTGGCGATTCATTTGCCAAATTGAGTGCGCAAACAAACCGTAACGAAAGTCAAATGAGTATAACGCAAGTCCAATTAAATGGTCATAAGTAATAATAATTCCGCTTTGATTTGTGACATTCACTTTACACGAAAGTCGAGGGGAATAATGTCTGGAAAAACAGGGAAATAAAGGCAGCTCTCCACTCTGCCAGACATCTTCATCTTGGACAAATTAGTTAATGAGGACCTTTGGAAAACGTAAAACAAAAGAAGGCCAGTGATTGGGATGCGTTATAAATTGACCAGTCTGATTAGGTAGCTTATGAAGTCATTTTGGTATTAAAGGCATTTATAATGTATCCATACTTACAAATAATATATTATTAAATCCTTTAAGCTACAAGGAAATGGCAATGAAACAAATAAATTAAAGTATTATGGTTTTTTCTTATTAAAAATTTTTACAACTGAGTGTAAAAAAGGAAAATGCATTCATCATTAAACTTTGTGAATTACTTTTAAAGGAATAAAATGTATAACTATATAATATATTAATTAATATTAACAAAGTAACTGACTAGAAAACATATTAATGGAAAATTAATAAAAATGTAATAACAAATTAAATGAAATTAATAAAAATGTAATAAAATTCAATGATATACATTTTAAACTGAAACAATAATTTCAAAATTTTCCAATAGAAATAGTATTTTTTACTCAAAAGATAATTGTTAATTGCAAGACTAGTCTTTCAGAACAAGTTTCAGTTTAAGAAAACTTTAAAATGCTATCCTCCTGTACCCCAATTAAGGTCATTAAATAATAATAACTTCTCTGGGGCCAGAAGTGTGTCACCGTGAACTTGGAGACTTGGGCTTTCAAGGAGGCTATCTAACAACCCGGGTCAGCAGCAAATGACTACGGCCGTATCTAGATTTTGCCTAAGAATGTGACACGGGGGGCTTAAGGGGACACTTACGAGGGGGTAATTGGGGGAGTGAGCGGCAGGACATGGCCAGGACACCCTCACACTCCGCCCATCCTGCGCCTGCATTGGGCGATTATTATTTATTATCTTAATTACGTCTTAAAATCCCCTGTGAAGCGGGACAGGCACCTGCCTAGGAGAACAGGATGCGAGGGCAGACAGCCCCTGCCACTCGAAATCCCGGCTCCTGGCTCATGTGCTTTTCCGAACCGGCAGGGAAAGTATTTGCGCGGAAAATTGTGCTTTCTTTGAGGGTGTGAGAGTGTGTGTGTGTGTGTGTGTGTGTGGGGCATAACGCACATGCTACCACTCTAAGCCTTCCCTTGTCTTGTCTTGTCTTTCTGGCACCTTATCCTTTCGGCTGCATCCTTCCCCGCTGTCAACTGCCGTTTGTCTTGGGCGCGTAATAAAAAGACTTAACAACGCGAGTTGTTTAATTATTATTTATGACACTCCTCGGCTTTGGCTCGCCAGATTATTGCCCCAAAAAATTGTTGCTCTAGGGGCAAGTGGATGGTGGGGGCTGGTAGATGCACAAGTTAGATTGCCGGCTGCTTGATTTACCGTCTTGGCTGCCAGGACTATTTAAATCAATTGCGGATTCATGCGCCGCCGTTTTCCCAGAAAGCCAAGCCCAAGCTCAATCTCAATTCATTTTCATAAAATCCAAAACTTTTACTCGGCCATAATTTACGATGATAATTATGGCAACTGTGAATTACCCCCCAGGGAGGCTAAGCCAAGGCCGACTGCCGCTGGCCCACATACCACCCACCCACCGTCCACCTCCGCCACCCACTTTCACTGGGCAGGCACAAAAATGTAAAAATGATAATCCCATTGTCAGGCGATAATTCAAAGGTTTCCTTTTATTTCTACTACTGGCCAACGTCCAACAATCAACAACTAAAAGGTGGAAAATATTCCAATAAATATTCTCTGGGGTTTATGATAAATCTCCTTGAAGAGGCCTGTATGGAAGTTGCTTTGTGTGAATTTCAAAAGATTTTACAATCTTTCATCCAATAAACCAAAATGTAATAATTAAAAGTTACTTAGAAAAGTATAACGGCAAATGGTTTTTAGGCGCAGATTAACAGATCAAAAAGATTAATGACTTTTAAAGTTATAAAAATATAAATTTGATTTATTATTTTATTAATTTTGGTTATACCAAATCTATTATTACCAAATCTATAATATTTAAAATATTCATATAATTTTGTGGGATGTTTTTTATATTTTTAAAATATTCTTATGGGAGAATCATCATACTTTTTTGCATTCGACGCTCAGTACAAAGTGAACACATTGTATATATAATATGTAAAGCGCAACAGTTTAATAACCTAAGTTATAAAACAGAGCTGTATGAATTATAATTGTGTTCCATTTAATTTAACCGAAATAAATCTGTAAATATAGTTAGAATTCAGATAACATAAGTTTTTCCATATTTTAAATCAAATTAAAGAGTTTATTAAAAATGTATAAATATGTATATGTATGTATAAATATATATGTAAATGTATAAAATTTACTTATATTTTACTATTGACATAAAAGTTTCAGTAAAATATTAATACAATTGCTAGGGAATAAAATGTTTATTTTGTTAGATTTAGTTAAGACATATAATAAAATTGTTTTTTTAGTTCCTTAATAAGTTCCCTTTGATTTCTTAACATACAAAAATATAAACGAATTAATGTGTTAGGGGTTTTTCATATTTTACGTATACATTCGTCTTAATTTTCTTGGGGCATTTGCTAGAGTGTTTCAGGCTGAGACTGAGACTAAGCCCTGCGAATGAATTATGCTTTTAATTGGAAACGCTTGGCGCCAAACGCTTTCTGCTGATGCCGAGATGGCGTTGCCAAAAAAGATTTGCTCATTAAACCGCCGAAGGACTTTCTGGCCCACTCCCCCCCCTACCGAACCCCTCGATTTTATTTCGCCCCTTGGCTGTCTGCTGGCTGGTGGTGCGCCGCAGGTATAAATTTCATAAAACTAATACGAATTGATTTATGGCATTCTTTGCTGGCCTGGCGAAAGGCTTGGGCTCTTCTTGGTCCTGGTTTTTTTACGCCCCCTTCCCCTTTTTCCTCCCCCTCCCTCCCCCTGCAGATGGCATTCCGGCCTGGCTTTTTAAATCTCGCCCAACCCCTGAAAAGTGGCAGGAGTTGCTATCAGTAGCTGGCATTTGCTCTGGAGTTGGTCTTTGTCTAAATCTTTGCCTGCTGTCAGAAGAAGAAAGTTTTCGGCGTAAGGTGTACTCCTCTCCCTGCCCCTTACCCCTTACCCCTTTCCCCATTCCAAAGCAAAGGGGGTGAGTGGGTGGTTTCGGTTGGCGCGTCTTAAGCTTATAATTCATAAAGCATTTAAGTTTACGAAAATCGAAATTTATTGCTATTCAAGATATTTGCAGCAGCCCAGGAACGTTCTCTTTGACTCCAGCTGAAATCTAGAATGGCAAGCATTAAATGGGAATGTCTTTGGTTCAGCCCACACCCACACCCACCCCGTTTGCGGCATAACTGAATAATAAATATAATTGTCTATAAGGCATTCCGAGCCTGTGAATATGCAAATTGAGGGGTCTACTGCCCCGCTTTATCGCCCCCCTCCCCCTCCCCATTCCCATTCTTCATGTAATGTTTGTGTATCAAAAATGGTACTCCTTGTGACGTATCGTCCTGCAGATAGAAGCAAATTGTTTCTCTCCATCCCCGTGACAATAAAAAAAAGGAATCTTAAGGCATACAAATATAATCAAAGCCCGGAATGCGAGGTCGTTTGTGGGTGGCTGGAGTGTGTGGCCCACATTTTTCTGATGAGGCCGATTAGAAGAGCCATAATGGCAGGGATATCTTTATGACATCTGCGGAAATGCTAAGCTAGCAGGCTAGCAGGATGTCGATGGCCAAGCCTCTAGTGGCACTACGTGTCCATTTCCCACTCGCCAGGACATCCTGACATCCTGACATCACCTGAATTCGCATTTCCCTTATCAGTTCCCCATTTCTTGCCGCCTCTGGCAGATGGACAGTTGGGCAGCTGGGTGTTTGAGTGTTTGAGTGGGTGGTGTGCTTATCTCGCGACACCGCAGCTGTCATTCAACTTAACTTTAACTTTGACTGCACTACGGGTGGTATCTCCGCTTTCCCTGCTCCCGACTTAACGCTCCGAAAATAAATAAAAAGCACTTCATTTCTTATTAAAAAATCGCTGGAAAATGCCCAATAAAACGGAGCGAAGGCCGCGAGAGCTCTAAGACAGCCCAGATTAGACGGGAGAAATTCAGAATCAAAATCAATCCATTAACAAAAGCACACAAAGGACCAAGTCCTTGGACCGTGCGGCATTAACTTGTGATTTCAACTGTGCGAATTCCCAACGTCGGCGATGACTTTGCATCGCAGCGGCCGCTAATTATCCCACGGAGGGATGGCGAAGGGGGGGTTTGCGGGTCCGGACAAAAGGCGTCTCGGCAACAAAGCCGTTGCGCTTCATTAAAACGGCAAGGACACGCTAAAAGAGATAGAGATGGAGAGAGTGAGAGAGAGGGCAGCCTGCGCATCCCTGCTCATTATCCCTTGCACTTATCCTTGGTAACCGAATTCAAATTTTGCGCCCCACAATCGTTTTCAATAGTGAACAGTTTTTGGAACAGGGGGGGGGGGATGGTGCGTCGTATCCTGACGAGCTTATCAGTCGCGGCATTACGCTGACTTCTGCATTCTCCTTGGATGTCTTTGTTGAACTCCGCTCCTGATTTCCCCCAACCCCCGAAAGCTGCGCATCAACTTATTTCTATTTGTATCGTCGCTAACCATTTAAAATCATTTTCTTTAAACGCTCTATAGAGGATAGAAATGTGGAGGAGTACATCTGCTGTGCCTTTTATTATCAAATCAGTAATGTAATAATAAATACATTTTCGTTTAGGAAATTCATATTCAGAAAATAGTTATACTGTAATATTTTTATAAACTTTATTTTGGAACTTATCATATATAATAATTTTAAATTACTTATTTTTACTCATTTCAGCATTTGTTAACATAGCTTAAGTTCTACAATTATATTTCAATTACTGTAATATTTTTATAAACTTTATTTTGGAACTTATCATATATAATAATTTTAAATTACTTATTTTTACTCATTTCAGCATTTGTTAACAAAGCTTAAGTTCTACAATTATATTTCGATTATTGTAATATTTTTATAAACTTTATTTTGGAACTTATCATATATAATAATTTTAAATTACTTAGTTTTACTCATTTCAGCATTTGTTAACAAAGCTTAAGTTCTACAAGTATATTTCAAAAACAACATTTTTATATAATATCTGTAAGCTTCATTTTAAGAGTATTTAAATTTCGTTTAAACTTTTACAACTGCCCCTGCTTTTTATATTCCTCACGATTCGGATGTTTCCTGTTGCCTTTCCGCCCTCCACCGTAATCAAGCCACAAATATGTTGCTGTCAACACGTCAGTGTTGGGACTCCTCTTTTTATTTGCTCCCTGGGAAACCCATTCCCATTCGTCTTATTTTTCATTTCGCACTGCATCTTTATCGCGCTGTCGTCTGAGGCGTCGTTTCTGTTTTGCTCACGCTTCATTACAATAAATCCGGTTACGGGTGTCTGCAGCTCGCTGCTGCACTCCGTCCGAATCCTCCGCCGGGAACGGGTAATTTTAATGCCCTATCAGCTCCAGCTGGAGCCGAAGTGGGAGTTGTCTGGCTCTTGGCCCGGATTCTCCATTCGAACAGTTGCACTTCACCGGGTGACAAGTTTATTCAGTCTTAAACGACTCCATTTGTTGCCATCTCGTAATACTCACGGTTGATTTGTTGACATATGCTGCAAGAGTACTTAGTAAATTTAAAAAATGAGTTTAAAATGGAAAAGAAAACAGAAAAACCAAATTGTTGGACTTTTGGATTGAAGCTAAAAAGGAAAAACGGATGTTTTTACTAGCTGTATTATATAAATTGTAAACAGAGTTATATTCTGCCACTTCTAATCTTATCTTAAAGAACAACTTCTTGAGAATATTTCCGAAAATTTTCATAGAGATTTGAGCTGTAGAAAAAAAGTTACAGCGCTCCTAGCCGCGCGCCTCGTCCCCGCCCAAACCCAAACTTGAAACTTTAAACGCGAATATCTCGAAATGGTTTTTTTTAAAAATGGCTTTGCGGTGATATGGATTAGCGAAAAACTACTGAACCGATTTTCTTCAAATTTTTTTTTAAATGTTCGTAATGAATTTTTTTAGTACTTGAACGATCGTTTTTTCATGTAAAAATTTTTATTTCGCCGAAATAGATTGTTTTGTAAGAATTTTCGCGTCCAAAAACGTCATTTTTTGCATTAAACGTTCCAGTATGCACAAAAAAAAAATTTTTTTAAAAACGTTCGTTCAAGTACAGGATACTACTTTAAACTAATGAAATATTTTTATTTTTTCGGTATCAGTTGACCCATTTGTCCTGGGGAATTATCACCGCAAGGCTCTTTTAAAAAAAAGGCGTTTAAGGGAAACAGCCACACCTTAAAAACTATTAAATATTTTTTCAAAAATTTTTGCATAAACATTGTCAACAATCTAAACTTTCAGAAAATATAATCATTCATTTAATAAAAACAATAGTTACATACATAAAAAAATTCAAACTTTCCTATTTTTTTCGACAAAAAAAGGTATATACCCCCTTAATGACAATATTTCTAACTGTTTTTTTTAGAAAATAATATCAAACTTTTCTGAAAATCAGAAGAGGTTAATTTCTTTCTAAAAGAATAATTGAAAAATTTTTATTTCATAAAGAAATGACTTTGTTACATTGTTATGTTAGAAACGCTTTCTTTTATCTGTTAAATCATTTTTAACGAATACAATATACCCTTTTACTCCTCGACCAATTTTTATAAATATCGCTATATTATCATTTTCGTTTTAGAGTAGAGTTGTTTAAAACTCCCCGAGACTATTAAACCACTTTATGAAAAGTAACTATCAAAATTTAAATTTTTAAAAATTTTAGTATTCATTAATAAGGTTTATTTAAATAGGAGTTCTCTAACAACACCATTACCAAATTTTACGATTATTATTTTAGAAATAAAATAAAATTATTCTTCTCTAATAGGTTTCGGTGAGCAGAATTAAAATCTTTATTTTGAACATAATAAACCTTAATAACATGGTTAAGAACTTTTGTTTCATTTTGTTTTTGCCATTCGAATATTTGGCCAAGTGATATTTTGAATACTATACAATTTTGAAAGATCTTTGTTATTCAAACAAAGTACGACGACTTTTTTTAATACAAATGTTATTTACAGAAACAAAGGAAATGATTTATTCTTAATCTTTTTAACAACTTTGAAAACAAAAATTCGTCTGTCTGTTATAGAGGTTTAATAATGATCTCAATCGTAGTGCAATAAAATCGAGGCCAGATTCGGGATCAGCACGCCGATAAGTCACAGTGTTATTGGAGCCCTTATTGAATACTCCAATGTTTTCGGAAATAGTTCGGTCATATTTTTATAAAAACCTTATTTTAGTATTTTCAGAATTCCGTTGCCAACACAGTTGCCCGGGAAAAACACTATTTGCGCACTTTGCCACACTCCCCATTGCCCCATGCAAACGGGTGGCTTATCAGTGGCTTATCTTATCAGTCGCAGTGGAAGCCGATGCCGAATGCCCGATTCCCGATGCCCGCGACCAGCAGGTGAGTAATTTTCCTCAGTCGGACAGTATTAGACCAGCAGTTGCGCGCAGACCCTCTTGAAAAACCCAATAAAGTAGACCGGAATTCCAAAAATTTAACCACAAAGTGAAAAATGCTGAGGGCGTGGCTGCATCGGAGTGGCAGTCAAAATTCTAGAATCTGTTATTAAGTTTCGAGAGTGCTCAGTTCGACTCGGAGCTATTCACCCCTTTCTTCTCTGTTTGGGTGCTCCAGTTTTGTGACTGATAAGATAAGCGGAGTGCAGTCCGCAGGGGAAATACGAGCGGCAACAATTCCACAGGTGAATAAGTCCGAGCTGATTGTGACGTCACTAGCGCCTTGAAATCGTCGCAATTTCAAATTGCGTTTAAGCAAAAACCAGAGACAATAAGTAGAAAACAAAAAATAGTGTCCCGATAGGGATCCAATTGAAATGCATGCGCAATAAAGCGGTATCTCGAAATTAACCCAACTTCGTTTACATTGCAGAAATGAGAATCGCTTTGGTTCTCCTGCTCTTGGGGATCATCTCCTCCAGTCGGGCCATTAATTGTCCTTGGCCCTGCCGTTGCACTTGGGTGGTGGACAGTCTATATGCGGACTGCTCGAGAAGGAGTCTCGAGACCTATCCTGATTTCGATGGCATTCCCGTGGAGCACTTGGATCTGTCGGGCAACAAATTCATGGAGTTCCCTACCCAATATGCGGACATAGACTCACTGCTCTACCTGGATCTCTCCAACAACCACATCGCGGGCCTTGGGAGTAAGACCCTGATTGGGTTCACTTCCCTGAGAACTCTACTGTTGGCCAACAACTCGTTTGCTTCGTGGGAAGCCCTCAGTCCCAATGAGGCCTTCAAATACGCTCCTAGCCTTAAGCGTTTGGGTCTGGATGGCAACACATTGGGCACTTTTGGCACTGGCGAGAGCTTTGAGATGCTCGGCAGTCAGTCGCTGACCGAACTGGACCTCTCCTCCTGTGGGATTTCCAACCTCGGCGGCGACCAGTTGGTCAACCAGCTGCCAAGTCTGGAACGCCTCAATCTGGCCAACAATAAACTGGTTCAAATGGCAGCCTTGCCCTCGCGAACCCTGAGGGCACTCGACCTGAGCAACTGCAGCATTCGGGATCTGCCAGGGTTCTTCCTCGATGCCATGCAAAATCTGGAGGCCCTGAACCTATCCCGCAACACGGAACTCCAGTTTGGCAGCCTCTCAGATGATCCCGTACTGAGCTACATGTTGCGCCGCTTGGATGTGTCCTACTGCAACCTGGATGATTTAGAAATCAGTGGCTTGCCGCAGCTGTCGGAGCTGCGACTGCGGGGAAATCTCCTGAGAGTGGTGGATGCCAGTACCTTTGCCAACAACACCATGCTGGAGGTGCTGGATCTCTCCGAGAACGTGATTCGGGTGATTGGCCAAGATGCCTTCGCCAGTCTGAAGCGTCTGAAAGTGCTGAACCTGGCCTTCAATGAGATAGCCCGTTTGGACAGGAATGTCGTACGAAACAACGACGTGCTGGTGGACCTGAACCTCAGTCGGAATGTGCTGCAGAAGCTGACCAAGATTGTGTCCAATTCGGTGCGCACCTTGAACATGAGCTGGTGTGAAATCGGCTCTATTGAGAGCACAGCATTGTCGAGTCTCTCGGCCATTCAGAAGTTGGACTTATCCAACAATCTAATCAGTGATATACCCACCTTTATGAGATCGGAAACGTTGCAGCAACTTAATCTGGCCAACTGCAGGTGGGCATTGCCTTTATGGCTCATTAAGTATTGGTCAGTAATTGGTTTTTTAATTTCAGGCTAAGTACTGTGCGCAACAACACCTTCAGGGAGTTCCCCGAGCTGGCGGATCTCCATTTGAATGGCAATCGACTGACGAGTCCCATTCCCCCAAACTATTTCGGGGGCAACAAGTACCTGGATCAGTTGTGGCTGGGCGACAATCCCTGGATCTGCGACTGCCACAGTCCGCTCTTTGTGGAGTTCTACGACTATTTAACATCTAAACCAGCTAAGGTTTGTTTGCTCTGTACCATAGACTTTATCAATTTCATGACTTTCATTTTATTCCTAAAGATAAAAGATGGAAACCACTTGCGTTGTGCTGCTCCTGCCATTTTCTATGGCAAACTTTGGGAGTTTGCCTGTGCGGATGTGTGGATTGTGAATGCCAGGAGCAGTAGTACTGGCGAGAAGGCCTGGTCGGTTATAATGATCACCCTTTTGGGACTGGGTGCTCTGGTCCTGGGATACGCCTGTCTGCAGAAGTTCCTGAGGAAGCGAAAAATCCGCGACAGTGAAAGGGAGTTCGAGGAGCACGAGGATGAACTGCGTCGCATGTAAGGGGAACCCCTTCGCTATTTAATCCTAAAAGTATTAATGTCTTCCCCACCAGTCGCAATCTCAACGACCGCATCCTGCTGGAGGACGCCACTCCTAGTGTGCAGCACGCCCAGGAGATCAGTCTGCTGCCCTCCTACGAAGATGCCCTGCGAATGCCCAAGTTGGTCAGGCCGGTGAAGTCGATGATGGATCTCTCGGGGCCCGAAAGAGCCCGCAACTCCCGGAAACTCAGGCGATCACAGACCCATGCCGAGGGCGATGGCTCCCAGTCGGAGGCGGAGGAGGGACTGCAGCTGGACAGCCGGCAGCGGTTCCGCAGCGTGGAGATGCTCTCGAACCGGGACAAGGAGAGGACCGCCCAGTATGGACCCTACCGGCGAACCGGGTACATGGAGTACAATCAGTCGGGCAGCCGTCGCTTCAGCATCGAGGACTCCCGCTTTCCGGCGGCCCACTTGAAGACCCAGAACCTGCAGAGTGCCGAGCAGATTGGCAACTTCCAGAGCTACGAGAACAGTCCCTACACGAAGCGCAAGCCGAAGATCGCCGAGATACCGCCCTTCAAGCGGGTGAATGTGATGGCCGACAGCGTGGAGTTCCTCACCGATCCGGAGTACGAGGATGTGGCCCTCAAGCACCGCAGTCCGTTTGCCAAGAGGAAGCCGAAGCCACCGCTGCCCCCTCCAGTCTGAAGGTCAGTGCCCAGGTGTACACGCTGCAACAGAGTCCGGTCCTGGAACTGGATCCCGCCATCGAGGACTACTTCAGCGCGGCCAAGAAGCAGCCCTCCTCGTCCACCATTGCCAGCGATTTCCAGGAGCTGGACGAGCCGGAGCTGAAGTCCCTGCCGGATGACAACCGGTCGAGTGTCTCGCGATCGGACGCAGAGCACGACTTGGAGCGGGGAAAGCGCAAGAAGCGGAAGAACTCGGCGAGTCGGCGGGTCAGCGGTGGCTTCACGGCGGCCAACGCCGGCGAAAGTTCCTCCAGCGACTCCGAACAACATGCTTTGGTGCACAAGCCCATGCGAGAGACTCTATTTTAGGCCCACACAGCACACACACACTTATTGTTAGTCATACCCGACCTGTTAGCATATCCATAAGACTATTTAAACGCACAACCAAATATACTGACATTTCTGAAAGTTCTTGTTGAGTGGAAATAGAATTAGTTGGGGAGAGGGAAGAAATACATTTTGGTTTTTATCTGTCATCATTCGATTTCTTGATACAATAAAAAATAATAAAAATCAATAAAATAAAAATAATAACATTTTTAAAACACTAATTGAAACATCGACTGGATAGGGATCCGATTTGTAGGACAATGTTGTATTAATCCTTAAGAAGATATTTTTTATTATAAAACTTTCCTAGCCATAGAAATGTTTTTTAATTCGTTTTTGCCTAAGACACAAATATTTCAATTTTCTTTTCAATTTAATAGTAAGGCGATAGATACCAATTTGTTTAAATAACATTCATAACCAACAAGGCACTCTTCTTTACTATAGAAGGTTATTGAAATCCTAAATAATAAAATCCCAAAATACGACGATTTCTTACAAATTTTCTTATAGTTTGAGGAACGACGCTTTTTTTAGATCTGGCCTTTGAACATATTCATTTATTAGACGTGCTGTATTTTGCCGCATTCTAATCACTCGTAGAATGGAGTGAAATATTGCGAAAGTGAGTAAAAGCTCGAAATGGAAATTAAAACTCCAAGTGGAGTTTGGACTAAAATTATTTTAAAAGTGAATTATGAGTGGAACTTAAGTGGTTTGAAACCTGGATAAGCTTGTGGCGCCATCTACACTACATGTTTAAGACAACATGCTTTACAAGTTTGTCCACACTGAAGACAAATTATATTAAAAATAAAAATATATAATATTAGGATACATTAATCCGAAAACAACATATTAAAATAAAAAAATTAGATTACAAATATTTTTAGAAAAGCCCATCCCCTTTCCCCAATTCAAGATATAGTATAAATGACAATGAAGAACAACAAACTACGATTTATGTAAATATTTTAATACGCTCCCATTTAATGATTTAAAACATTATAATTTCACAAGAGAACGATGCTTAAGTAGTTTACAGTATATAGGTAGAGGTTATAAAAGTACATATATAGCCAGTATGGTGTGAACATCACAGGCAAAAGCGGGTTGAAAACATTTATTTATTCAAAAGAGTGAGCTTCCTTCCTTTTCTTTTGACCCCGGTCATTCATATCATTTCATTTTCGCTCGACGTTAGTTTTCCTCTTTTTTATGCACATATTTTTTAACTTTGGTATTAAACTAAGATTTACGCTTAGGAGTAATTAATTTACTTATGGCTACTACTTGTCGGTCACACTTAAGAGGGGGAGTTAGTAGCATAACTCTAATAGTTTGCTCATGTCGTCGCCTTGGCTGTGTAGTGATTACACCCCCGACCCTGTTTCAGAATCCCATCGAATTGATATAGATCCACTTCGATCCACTTTCCTTTTTTGTGCAGAAAAGTAGTCATAATCAGGGATCGAACAGGGGTATTCCATCAAATCAGATCGGAGTGAATGGGGAAACGCTCTAAGGTCGAGTCGGAAAAGTCGGGCTGTGTCGGGAGTTGGTGGCCAGCGCAGATCAGTGGCCATTGATGTTGATGGCCACCGCCTGGTGGGTGGGTGCGATGGGCTTGACGGGCGTGGTGATGATGTCCCCGGCGTTTGACTTGCTGCGCGTCACCAGCATGGGTGTCTTGGGCTTGGGCGTCTCCGTCAGCTTGATCTTCACGCGACCCGTCTCCGGCGAGTAGACGGGCGAGTATCTGCCGGACTTGGGCGACGAGGGCAGGTAGGCGGCGTCGGGTTCGTTGTTGTTCTGCTCGGCGGCCTGCTGCTGCTGGGCGTACTTGGAGGCCCGCGGGGACTGGGGCGTGGGGTAGCGCGGACTGATCGGATAGTACTCGTGGCCGGCGGGCTCTCCTCCCTCGGGTGCATCCTTGGCCCCGCCACTGGCCGCTCCATTCCCATTGAGCAGGGGCTGCTGGCCGGCACCATCCTTGGCCTCCCCGTTCTCCCCGTAGGCCTTCTTCACGATCTGCGCCTCGTCCAGCTTGGTCTTCTCGCCGATCAGCGGGGAGTGCTCCTGGCCGTTGCTATGGCCGTTCTTGTGCAGCGGCTTGCCCAGCTGCTTCTTGTCCATGTCCAGCAGCTCCGTCTGCCGCTGGGCCTCAGCGTCGCGGGCGGCGGCACTGCTGTTGTACTGGCACCGCTTGATGGCCACGAAGAGTACCAGTCCCACCACAATCAGTCCGATCACGGCCAGCAGGTAGTAGATGGCACTGCTGTCGTCCGAGTTGCGACCCACCTTGGCGGTCAGTATGTCCTCGGACTCCTTGCTGTCCTCCACGGGCCCATCGGTCACCACATCGGACTTGAGACCTGTCTCCAGCTTGGTCAGCACCACGGGCACAATCACCTCTTCCTCCACGGGCTTGTCCCCGTCCTTGTTGCCCTCGAAGATGCCCATGTCGTTGGTGAAGACGTTGCCGTCCGGACTCTCCACGGGCTTGCTGTCGTGCTCCTCCTGCTTGCCATCGAGTTCGTCCTCCGATGTTATCCTCACTTTAGTGACGTCGGGAATGATGAGTAGTCCACCACCGCTGCCAGAGGCCTCCGCATCGTCGTCATCGTCCTCCACGATCTTCTCCTTGGTCTGGGGCGCAGAAGTGGACTGGTCGGCCACTGCCTCCTCAACTTGGGACGCCGCAGGTTCTGGTTCGGGAACGGGCAGGGACATCTCCATGTTGGTCTCGCTGAGGTCGCCGGATCCCTCCACCTGGTCACCAGGCAGCGGTTCCTGGGGCGAACGGACCTTCTTCGAGGTGGCCACCGCCTTGCCGTCGATGGGCAGGAAGTCTTTGCCCAGCTCCTCCTCATCCTCCCGCTCTCCCGAAGCAGCCGCCGGCTGGTCGCCCATCATCAGTTCGTTCTCCGTGACCTCCAAATCGGAAACCAGGTGCAGCTCCTGCTTGCAGATATTGTCCTGCTTCACCTGCAGCCAGGGAAGACCCTTGAACTCCAGGGGATGGGAGCAGATCACTGGTTCCACCATGTAGATCGACTGCTTCTTCAGCCAGTTGCGCACCTGCAGCGTTTGGCAGGAGCAGTTGATGGGGTTGTGGGCCAGTTCCAGCTGGTACAACTGGTCCATGTGGGTCAGCTCCAAGGGCAGGTTGGTGATGTTGTTGTGCTGCAGATTGAGCAGTTGCAGGCGCTTCGGCAGTTTCTTGATCTTGTCCGTGGTGAGGCGGTTGTGCTTGGCGTTCAGCCGCTTGAGGTGATGGCCCAGGTGGCCCAGATCATGCAGCTGGTTGTGCGACAAGTCGACGGAGCTGAGCTCCGGCAGCTTGTCCAGCACATGACCCAAGCGGGTGAGGTTCAGGTGGGACAGGTCGATGGAGTGCACCCGATTGGCCGACTCGAAGGTATTCTCGGCGAGCCTCAGACTCTGGGTGCTGTTGCACTTGAGGTGGTACAGTGTCTTGTGCTTGTGCAGCAAGTTGCACACGCAATCCGTCGGGCAGTCGATGGGCGGGCGAGCGGAGGGGGGCGTGGCGGCGGCAAGCACGCAGAGGAGCAGCGCCAACCAGGCGGTCAAGTGGGCGCGCTCCATGGCTGTGAAGATGGCTTGTGGGTGGTGTGCTGGCAGTGGATCCTTCTTTCTTCCTCTCTTGGCGTCTTACCTGAAATGGATTATGGGAAATGTCAATTCAACTCATAGATAACTTTCATTTCTCAGAATTAAGCTTGAAGATGGCCTAAATTTAAATACACAGATATCTACAAATTTCACTTATACCCACAAACAAAGCTACTGTGGAAGCTTAATAAGAATTCGACAATTGTATCATTGGTTTGTTCTTTAAAATTAATGTAAAATAAAGTTATTAAACACAGTTTTTAACCAGTCTTGAATTAAATTGCAATCATAAAAATTAAATTATTAAATTTAATCACCCGCTCATTAAAATATTTTTTGGAAGCTCAAAAAAAATAGAAAAAGTACATTAAATTTAATCACTGTAGACGAAATTAAAAATATAAAAATATAACTGAAACTGGCTGCGATCTCACTGTTTATTGAATTTATATACGCGTTTCATAAAGAAATCCTAAAGAAAATTTTTGTAATTAATTTGCGAGAAGTTTATACGTGAAATAAAATCATTTAACTTTATTCGATTTAATTACCCGCTATTAAAAATCCAGAATAATATTTTAATATTTACGCTGTACTTATTTATAAGAACTTTTATTAACCAATTTAAAAAAGTTCCACTAAAGCTTACAGCTAAACAAATTAATTTTTAATTTTAACACTTGCCATTAACAATGTTTAATGGAATTCAGAAAAGTATTTAAAGTAGATTTAAATGCTTGGAAATCAAATTTTTTCTGCAACAATTTTAAAGTTGTTCGACTGAAAGTCTCTGCAATCGTAATGGGACTACCTTTGAACGGAAACTCACTGAGCTTTGGTAGTTATCTTTTTGCTTGGCAACTTGTCTTCGTCACCGGTTGCGTCACCCCCATATTCCAATACTCGAATACTCGACTCCTCGAATGCTACCATCTTCCTTTCTACAGCTATTCTTTCTCCCAACCCTATCGACATTCGTTATCGGTGTTAGATTCGCTTATCGGGGTGTTAAAGCCCGAGTATTTGACGCTATCTCTGCGAAGGGTAATTAATATTTCACTCGTTTATTTTTTCCGCTAAACAGCTCCGTGACATCAGCAGCACCTCGCCCAAGCACCTGACCCACCATTTGGTCCCCGAAAAGCCGCAGAAGAGTGAGTCAGTCTGCGGGGGATGAGATCCGTATCGAATCGAATCTGATACATATGTATAATACATAAACAGGGAGGTGCGGTGGTGGGGGGGGTGGAAGGCCTTGGGCAGTTGCACTCACTTAATCAGAGCAGATTGTCAGCGGCCCGCTTTTAATCCCCATCTTCTGTTTATTGCTCGCTTTCCACGAGCCACGCAAACTGATTGACGGCTGTCTCGTGGATGCAATTTAAGTGCAACTGGCGCTCGTTTAGATCGACCCCCCCCATCCAAAATCCCCTTCAGAAACCTCCTCACTGATAAGCCCTGAGCCTCTGACCGCAAAAACTGAAACTCTCGTACACCGAACGAAATTTTTGATAACATTTAAGATGGTCATAAATTACAACTTTCATTGTTTTCAATTTGATACAAAACTGGAACAAATATACTCTAATTAAACTAAAAATGTATGGCTATTCTTAACCGTTTATCAATTAACTTGGTATAGGGTATGCCTCTATGTATTCCAATTTCAATGGGCCAAATTTTAAATATCAGAAATTGACTTCAAACATTTGTCCAAATCCAAGAACACTTGAATATAATTAAAATCAAGGTCTTCTTGCAATTAAGATTGTTTTTGTTAGGCCAAAACCAGTTTCTCAAAATGCATGTCTTTTAATGTTAATATTCCAATAACGAATGCCATTTTAATTAGTTCAGGTTTTTCTGTTTCCCATATGTTTTTCCCTCCGTGTGTCACAATGGCGATGCCCAATCCTAATCAACAGATAGACGAGATCTAGCAAAGATGCCGAGTTGTCTGAGTGGCTATGGGTTGCAGTGGCAGAGCCAGCTCAATTTGCAATTTGTAGCGCGGACTTGAATTATTCAACAGTTGGACTATATTTACATGCAAGTAGCGAACTGAAATAAGCTGTTAAATGTAAGGGTTGCCCCTCCTGCACGTGTCTCCCGGCGGGGGTTTCCCTTCATCTTTTTCCAGCGCCCTTCATTCGATGCGATGAGGCTGAAAATTGGAAATGGAAATGGTCACAAACATGCAGCTGCTGCTGGGCGAACAATTGAGGGGCAGAAAATGCCAACTGGAAATGAGGCGTCACACGAACATGCAAAAATAAATCTGCGCGGAATCTCGTTCGAGATCTCAAGGGGGAGCCCAAGGTCAGTGTCATTATGCGGCCGTTCGTCCGAAATCGGAAAACATTGCAGACGGGAGACATATGAAAAGTGGTTTCCAGCAATTGTGTCACTTCTTTTGGCTAAACGGCCACCACTCGCAAGTGTCTTCTTTTGGCTTTTGGTGTTGACAAATTGCCACGACTTGGATGCATAAACGGAACTTTCACCAGGTGATTTGTGGTGTATGTGGGGGGGGGAGGTCTTCAGACATTTATCAAAATCTGTCAATTGCTGAATTCGTAATTTGCAGCTGCCACCTGTTGCGCCAAATGCAATCAATGTGGTTAATTGCCTTTTGCTAAAATCTTCTGCACCATCGGCGATCTGCAGGCTGATATCATAATTCGATCACGGGGCTTGTTTAATTACTTTCGGCGGAGTCTAATACCCCTTTTCCACACGGGCACTTTGATGTTGCGGCGACAGGAAGAAGAAATTAGAGAGGGGCTCTGTACGGAATAGTATACTGTATTATATATGAAGGCCTTAACACATCCACCAAATGCCACTTAATGCCGAAAACGAGACCAACTTAGAATAAACCGTTTGCAAATTGAGAGAAATCAGCGCCAGACAACGGCGAAAATCTTAAACGATGACAAATGTTCAACCTTGACAGAGACGAAAAAAAAAGGAAAAAAAAACCAGAGAACAATCTAAGAGGTCTGTCTTTGAGTTGAACTGGAAACACCGTCCCGACTCCTCGTCCCCCACAACTCGTTCTTTCACACTCGAACAAAAACATATAAAAGCCCACAAAAATTAAATCACGTCATGCTGCGATCGCTGGCAAAATAAATTGTTATATATGGGTATTTTTAGATTTGTGCAAATCTTTTTTATACATTTCAATCAGCCTGCGCTCGGCAAGAGCATTGTGCCCGCAGCAACGATGAAAAAATGAAAAGTGTTTAGTTGGGCTTTTGTTTGGCCATATAAATAAATAAATATATATATGCAAATAGACTATGAACTTCTGGGCCATTCGTTTAAAATTCCATCATTTTGCTGGCACAGACACATACTTTTCTATCGAATTCGCAACATTTCTTTTGCATTTCCCTCTCGGACAGAAAAAAATTGAAAAAACTGATGACGCCAGGCAATTAAAACATCAGGTGATTTGGGTATTTTACCCGGCAAAGAAAAAAGCCAAGCTGAAGCTGCCGCAAACGCTAATGTGTGTTGACCGCATTAAGACGGCAAAAGGCAGAGGAAAAAGAGGCAAAAAGACCGCCAAAGCCAGAGATGACGTCTTACTATGGATTGTGAGTCAATCCATCGGGTTTGGCCAACACAGCTCTCCGCCATTCACAATATTCGCCGTACCCATTCAAGTTGAGCAGCGGCAATGGATAGACAAATTAGCATATTCTAATTCCCGCCTGACTCCGGCTGATGGCTGACAGATCGACATATAAGCAGTTCCATATATAATGACCCACATTGACGACGGAGTTCGCCGTCAACATTATCAATAAAGTGCCATTTAAGCGTTTTGCATTTAAGCATTCAACTGTTCAATCAAGTGCAAATGAGCCTAAACTCTGGCGTAGCCCGAAAAACTCTTTGGCATATTTAAGCGCGTTCCCGTTCTCTTTTGCCCCAAGTTTCGACTTGGCTTTACTTTGCTGGCCGTGCAGTGTTTAATTGATTTCCACGAAACGGGAGAAAACCAATCACCGGGGCATGCATAACCAAAATATGAGTAGCGATCGTTGGCCAAAATACCGCATAAAGACCGAAGAGTCGGGGAAAAAGTGCAGAGCGTAAGCTGAAATTATGTGAATTATGCAAAACGGGTTAGGCAAACCAGAAAGTTAAAGTCAATGTACCAGATAATGGCCAAATAAACAGAACAGAACAGAACCGACCAGACCAGACCCTCCAGAAAAACATTGCGTATACGACAAGTAGCCAGATTATGTGCTTCCACAGATAATCGCAGCATACAACGCACCATCTGAACTTGACCTACGAATTCAGCGGCTATCAGTGATCGGCTGATTTTCGCTTTCTGGGCACGTTGCCAAAAATTGTTTGCTGGCGGATTGCTAACGGGTGAACCAAATCTTGACATTCAAAAAATACTCTACTCTCCCTCTCAATTTAATTCACGAGTGTTTCAGTGAATGCTCAAAATAAACAAAGACGATAAAAAATCAGCGAAAGAGAAAGGCAGCCTTAAAAATATATTTTCGTTTGTATTTCTTTTTATTTTCGGGCTTCCTCTATGCAATCTATGCAAACATTTCACACCCACGCCCAAATCTTTGCCATTGACAAAGGCAGAAATGAGGCAAACATATACAATTGATGATGGACTTGGGTGTCAACGAGTGTTGATTCTGATTAGTGCCAAACGCCATTTCGAATGAGTGTTTCTGTCGGTGGCCAGAGGTGCGATGATGAACAAGCCATGAGATCGCAATGAGAAAACCTATAAAAAACACTTCTTATTTTCCCACGAAATTCTCTTAATCACCCCAGACGATTTCTGATCATATACTATGCGAATTCAAGAAAAAACAAAAGAAGACGAATATTTTCTAAAAGTAAAAAAACCATTATTACTTATTTTTTGAACATTCCCTTAACTGTGTAATTTTGTATGTATATATGAGCATATTCCTATTTTATTAGGCTGTGGTTTTGATGAGACCGTAACAATTGCTGCAAAATTTTAATTACTTTTAATTATTTTCAATGCCAAAACATAAACCGAACTCTAACGATGACTCTGGTTTAATGGGGCTATTCTTATCAAATGATTTAATTACAAAACATATTAATCCCAGTTCAAAAGTTGTGTGATTAATCTATTGCTGTTATGTCGAGTGATATGGGCGGAAAGTTCTCCACTTAGCAAAAAGGAATCGCTCTGATGACTGGGGCTGACTTTCATTGAACTTTTCTGGCATTCAATTAGAAACACGTTAAATTAGTCTGAGTTCCCAACTGGCCGCTGATCAATGCCTTATAATTGTCTGAAGTTTATCAATAACAAGTTCTACCCGGCTCAGCTCAGAGATCAAATCAGGTCGGTGGGGAATCGCGCCACGTAGCCATAATTAGCTAATTCGAGCTACAATGTTACGTGTGGACAGAGATATACTATACATACTATATATTTTTGTGTTTGTGCATACAAATGCTCAAGTTAAATAAATATCCACACTCTCGTTAATTGGAAAAACCCGAGCGAAACCCTGCAGATCGTTTTGGCGGAGAGGCGACTAGTCATGGGTTTCGGTTTCGTTTTTCGTTTTCGGCATCGGATGATGCAATTAAAAGGTCGGACTTGGCTGGATATTTGACAAAATTAACGCATTTGTGTGGGCTGCGTTTTCCAGAACGGCCGATGAAATAGATTCGTGCGCCGACCTTCCCCCGAGTAATTGCATTCCATTAACACATCGACTGCTTCCGATTAAACTGGAACTAAAGCGTAAATCGCAAATTTACTCACTGCTCGAGGTGAGTTTTAAATTAATTCCCCGTTACAGTGACAATAAATCTCCAAGTTGCGCCATAAAGTATCAAATGAAAGATCTGCCGATCGAAGCATTCGGTCATTGGTTTAAACAATTTGATGTCTAGCCGAAAGGCATTTTTACAGCATGCCATATAAATGCCAATTCGACGCCTGACTCTTGCGAGAAATTATTTGCCAATCTGCACCTGCGAAATGTATTCAGTCGGATGCCACATTCCCCCTGCTATTCTCTGGTTTATTTACACTGCTCATCTCGAGTTCAAGTTCAGCCGAAGCAAACAGATTTACTTATGCTCGTAGCAAAGTGATCAGTTTCAGAGGATCCTAAGCTGAGAATAATCGACACATGTAATAAACTACATTTAATTGTTATATGTCATTATTTGCCAATTTTGGAATGGAATTCCCGGAAAGACTTAAAGCCAATCGCCAAAAGGTGACTCAATCTGATTGAGTTAATGCATGATGTCATAAAAGTACTTATACAATTTTGTTAAAAAATATCAACGACCAGTGACGTCAGCCAAAAAAGTTTGGCTAAAATCAAAAAAGGAAAATCCAATTGGGCAGCCTCGTCACCAATTAATTTATGAGTCTGGGAATTGGCTTAAAAGTGAATTCCCCTCTTCTTAAAACCAGATATCAGTCACAGTATCGACTTTTGCCTGGGGGTTAATTTCAAGAGCAAGTGCTGACCTTCCCGGGAGTTAATCATGTAGTGCAGTGTAATTATAGCCAGCAACCCATTCACATTCCCTCCCATTGGCTGCTGTTGTTGCACAGAAGGCGACTGTCGGGCGAAAGAGCCCATCAGTTCATACCATCAGATTGTGCACACAAAACAATAATTTACTGACTATTAGAAGTCAATTTCAACAAATTAATATAGATAATAAATTAGTATTTGAACAGGTGATCCAACATTTGGGTTACAAAAAAAATATAACAATTTTTATTTAGAATGACAAAATGTCATTCAAAATAAAAGATATTGACAAAAAGAATAGGAAAAGTACTAGATCTTGTATCTGAAGATTGATTTATTATTTATATTTTAAATATAGATAATGACACAATAATGTAGTATAAAATGCAAAAATGTCACTCATAATATATTACTTTTTTAAAAAGAATAGAAATAGTATCGTTATTTGAGGAAAAATGTGAAGTTTATTTTAAATTTACGTGTACTTGACGTTACTGGAATTCAAAACAGGAAATGTATCCTTGATGAATATAAACTTGACCCCAAAATAAATGGGCTAGACCTTTTATTCGATTTTTTTTGGCGGTGCACAACATGGACACTCCTCCGGACAAATTAGCCTGCGGTTAGCTGTGGATGCATTCGAAGATCGCATGATCGCACTGCCGTTTTTCATGGCTTCGTTTGGCAGTTGACACGTTAAGAGCACGCACGTTTGCCGGCCATTCGGCCATTTAAGTGGCCCCAGCATCGCATCTTGGCCATTGCCACTGGCCAGAAGATGGAGGAGAGCCGATAAAGCGGAGAGCGGCATTTGACAGTTATGACCACTTGTTTTATTTTTAGAGCCAAAAACGGCTAGGCCAGTTGGCAAGCCGAAGCACGGCCAAAGCAACAGCAAAGAGCCAAGCAAAGTGAAGCCGGCCGGCACCCACAGAGTGGCTAAAAACAACAGACGCGGCCGAAAGCAACTGAACTGGTTTTATTTTCTGCGCGATGATGACTCGCAATCCCAGTTAGAGCCCCCAAAACAGTAACTCTGCCCCCACCCTCGCCTTGATCTTGACTTTTTAGGGTTTGGTTTTGGGCTTAGGAAATGCCAATTTAATGTTGGCACAACTCAATTCGTACCTTCTATAAGACATGCATTCGTCGATCCTCGGATCCTCAGGCCAGAGCTGTAAGAAACGGATAAAATGGCATTTTAATATCAACGATTCGAGTGTGCACATTCAAGTGACTTGCATTGGGAGTTTTCTATTTATCTGCGCAATTATTTCTTGGCTTTGATTTTAATTGTGTGCAATTAAAGTCTTAATTGCCTGCCCGTCCAAGTTAATTTTTAACGAACTATGCTTTGGCTATAGACTGTCATTCACTGCCTTTGGTTATTAAGCTAATCTCAATCGCCAGTGAAGTGTGAAAGTTTCACCAAAAAATATTACAAAAAACTCTCCATTTAATATTGCAAATTTAAATAAAATTGGCAGAGGGTCAGCCGAGTTCAGCCTCCAAGGCGAAGAATTATACGGTTTATTTTCACTTAGACAATTAATGCCGTGATGACTGAATCACTGGCTCGTGGATTCTCAGGGCGTTGTTCATCCATTGTTGGGCCCAAAGAGCCAACAACCTGTTGCCCGATTGCTATTCATCGGACGTGACCGAAAATACTGTCACGTAATCCGTAGACTCCCACAGAAGTGTGGCGGGGCTGCTATGTTTGTGAATGGATCGGAATGGCCCGGTCTGCACTCATGTGACACAGCATCTAATCGACGGGGCTGGAGCTCATCACAGCATGCAAATTAGCTGCCAGCAATCAAGTGGTCAGCTTTTGATCTTTGGAATCTTGAGCCACCTGCCAGAGATTAGGGCACCAGATGTCCAGATCTTAGCTGTTGAACTTGAATTGTTTGCAGAACCAAACTATTTTCCCTGAGATGTTTACTTTTCGTGAATTTTAAACGAATAAACAATCTGCCGGCCCATTCTGCGTCACGATTGCCATTCCGCGGAGGAACTCTCCATATGCCCTGGCCGGAATTCCTTTCATTTCGGCGAGCTTTTCACACTATCTCAGCGACGGGGTTTTTTTTATCTTATCTCACAACATTTGCTAATTATAGATAGGGCTGAACCCCAAAAAACAAGCACACAGAACAAAGTCATGTGCACTTGAGCCCTGGGATTTCTGGCTCTCATTTGCCTTTGACAAAATTCGTATTCCGTTCTCTTTTCCACTTCTAGAATGCACTCCAAAGCCTAGGCATTTTCATTTCCATTTTCATTTCCATTCCCCCCACTCTGAGGAGTTGCCCAATGATATTGTTTTGATTGCGCCTCGATAACAGCCTGTTTCGCCTTATCAAAACACATTTGTTGCTCATTTGTTGCTCATCCCCTTGGAACAACAACGCTCTATATCTAATGGGGACAAGGTTGAGACATCCACCAAAAATGGAACCATGAAGTGCACTCCATTTCTATGGTGGGTGTGAGAGTGCCACTGCATTCGGTCTCCGATTGCCTTAGATCGAGACGAAACATAACACCTCGAAAATCGAGAAGCCAGACGAAAGGCGCCAATTCCCAATAATGCCGAAACAAAACTAGCAAAAAAATCTCTAAAGAACTGAACTTGAAACAAAAGTCGACGGAGCTGTATGTATACGTTTCCGTTACATATGTTTTGCAGGCAACAACTTAATGATTCCCCTTTAGATATGTTTTTAGCGCCTAACATTACAGGAAGTTCACCGCAATTTCTCTGACTGTGTACATTTCCGATAAATTGCCGAACCTCGGGGCGTAGATAAGTGTGTCTGCGCCACTCGCAGATAGATATATATTAGCACCCACCAGCAACTTGGAGGTTTTGCCTGCCTTTTGGCTGTTGAGCGAACTATTGGCCATAAAGCCGATTTCTGGAAATTGCCTGAAAAACAGTTTCCAGTTCGCACTCGCACACCTCTGTGAATTATGCGCTGGAAATTAGCACCTTGGCATGGAGATGTATCCAAAGTCGGAGGAGTATTACGCAAGAGCCAGAGTTTATAGCTCCACTCCGAGATGGGCGTTCCACCTTCGCAGTTTTCGCAACCCGGGATCATGTCTCTATCTCCCAGTTGATTGATAATCTCATTAGGTGATGACGTTGCATGACTTTTTGCTTTTAGACCTGACACACAGCAATTTGTGTTATTAATATTTCTTTTTATACATTTCGTGGCAAAGTGATTCACCATGCGTTTGAAGTGGGTGCTAGCCTATGGGCAACCACAGAGGCAGGGGGGGAAAGGAGGGAAAATCAGAAGGAACATAGCCCGGATCGCTAACCTATCCGTAACTGAACGAATCAACTGGCTGCCGTGTGCGGTTTCCAATGGTTTTACGTAAACGATTCCGAATTGCAGGGCGCCGAAAGCTCGGCGGTTCGAGAGGTGCTTGGGTGGGTTTGAGTTTACTCATATGTATGTGTGTACATCATATATACATCATACATGGGCAGACAGATCGGATCGAGGGGCGTTGGGGTGGAAGCTGGCTGGTTGTTGGAAGCCAAGTCGCGTAGGTAGCGGAGTGTCTGGCGGAGATTTCACATGAATGCGTGCTACTTCTGTCCCTCTCGTAATAAGTTTGCAATCGCATTCGGCTTTAAGTGCCCGTACCCGGGGGTTAAAAGAGTAACCGTTTTATTATAGCTTACTCATCCCTCGTTCGTATCTTTCATACTTTTATTTTTGGCAATTATATAACTTGGATGTGTTGGGAAATAAGGTCAAGTTTGCCACAGAAATCCAACCGCAAATGCAGGGCAGATAATAAAAAGTGGTATAGTAAAGCAGTTCGGTAAGTCACTTGTTTTTAGCTCCAAAAACCCCGAATCCAAACTCTGGCCTTATATATTGCAGAATCGGAGGACCGGAAACCGGAAACCGAAAACGAGATTAATCCCTTGCGGACTATAATCATGAATCAGATTCACTATTTTCTATTAATATCCCTTATCACATCCCGCAGGTTTTCCGGTTTCCCAAATTATGTGTTATCGAGTCCCAAGCGCGAAGCTAAACTCACAGCAGTCATAAATTCTTTGCTTTTCACTGTTTTATATTTTATTCTGCTTTATTTTCTATGTAAAGAACACTTTTGTTTGATCAGATATGAGTTTTTATTCGCAGTATATGCGTGAGTACGTATTATTCTCTGTTAGCACTGTATTAGTCTTTTGTTCTTGGCACAACGAGGAGTCCTTCAACACACGATGCGTTCGCCGTGTCTTTCGGTTTGAACTGGCGGCCACAGACTGGCGGAGATCGCATCTCGCCGAGATTTCTCAGACTGCTATCACAGAATGTGTCGCAGCCGCCAAAAATTAAAAGAAAAAAAAAACGAGAAAAGATACAAAAATTCGAATCTCAAAAGGGGGAGAGCACCCTAAACGCCGAGAGGAACGACAATGAAGGCAAAAACAACGGCAGCACGTCACAAGCAATTTAGACTCGTAAATCGCCGAATGCATGTATCTTGATATGTGGCGGTTTGGTTTCGAATTTTCGCCTTTTTTCCGAAAGATTTGTATGTTTTTCTACATTATTTGGCCTGTCAATTGCACTGGCTAGTTGGCGAGCGTGTGTGGCAGCGGAAACTATATAATTTTTAATTACCTAGACGGTGTGAGGGGGTTGAGGGTTTGGAGAGGCTGAACTTGGAACACTGCTCTTTCGGATCGCTTTTAGATTCGCGCACGCACCCGACGACACGTCTTGACTTTGGAGTTGCCCGAACTAAACAAAGCTCGATACCTGCGAAACTCGGGGCCCGTAGACCGTAGACCTCAAACCGTAGACCGTAAACCGAAGATCGGACACCGGAGATCGCACACGACCGTTCGCGGGAAGAGCTTAGCAGCGAATGAGCCGCTATCGCAAACCTCGATTCCGAAGAGCTACGTAACTTCAGCGGAGCGAGAGAAACACATACAGATACAAAGAGCAAGGCACATGGCGAAAGCTACCTGGGATTTGAAAAAACAAAAAAGAGAGAGAGAGCGAGAGAGTTTGCACGCTCCGTATAATACTGGAGAACACGTGGATATAACCAGCGGCACACGCGCTATAGAACACGCACACAACTTTGTTTGTGTTATGAAATTCATCGAAAAAGCTTCTAGTTTGCAAAAATTAAAGAGAGAGAGCGGTAGAGATAGATAGAGAGTGAGAAAGCTTATCACCATACTGTCGAGTTATCAATTGATGAGTTTAATTAGCGATTTAATCTAAAAATAGTGCCACCACTTTATTTCGCTTGCTTTACTTGGTTTAGCATTTTTCACTTCCTGCAGTAAAAAAAACGCAAAATGCACAAGTCTCCAAAATAAACCTCTGCTGTTATTATCGAAATCTTATCACTCACCATATTCTTTTCCGCCATACGATAAACATTTCACCTTTTCTTCAGTCTGTCGTCTCTTTTGCCAGCAGCCATTAGTAACTTTAGGTAAAATTAAGCTTTAACTCCGAATAAAACTTCATCTAAAACTTCCAGTTAATGCGTGGGTGGTTTTGTTTACGTTTTATTGGGTTTGTGGGTCAAAGTTAATGTTCAGTTGTGAATGAATCGAGTGAACTTCAAGCAGCCCACGATCGTAGTTACGAATTTATTTGAGTGTGCATGTGCTATGTACATTTGTACATATGTACATATGTACTGGGCAACTGAGTTTCAAAACTTGTGGCAATACGAATGTTAAATATTTGATTTCGATTTAATCTTATCTCTATTGACTTTTACATTTGCCATGTTTGTTCTCGATGGCTTTTCGGTTGATATCACCCCTCTCAATTCTCAAGACCCTCTCATGTGCAAAGCCCTTTGGTTATTTTGCGCAAGAACGCGGCGTTGGTCGCTAATTAAACGGATTTCCATTTTTTCTGTGAAGAGAGAGAGCCCCGGGAAAAAACAACATTATTATCTCACCATCCAAATATTCGCACTCGCACCCCTAAAATGTTTCGTTAATCGTTCAAAATTGAATACCAGCCGCCAGTTCGGCTGTTTGCTCACCTTTCGACCAGATATTCTGTGATGGACTGACCAATGCCCTCTAAGAAATCGACAATTTTATTTGAATATTTAAAAATCTCAGAGTAATCTCTACAATTTACATAAATTGCAGGCTTTTATAAAAGTTATATAAACTTTTTATTTATATTTATTCAAATGGCAAAGCTTCAGATATGAAAAAACAACATATATATGTATAATAATGGACAAGCTTTAGTTTATATGTATACTCTTGCCAAATAAAGATAAAGTCAATTTTCGAAATCTTTTTTCGATCTAAGGCAGTTATAAGATAAACTTGTAATTCTTAGATTTTTATAAAACTAAAACCGTAAAACTTATATACTGAATGCATAGAAATAACACTTCTGCTTTAAAACTGATCGACTCACCTGGTGGTTTAGATCAAGAATATGTATAGTGCATAGGGTAGGAAACGTCTTGTTATTTATTTGCGAAGCTTATAAGTATACCCAGTAGGGTATGCAGCTGATCGAAAAATTATCCGCCTGTTTCCAAAAACGGGAAAAGACACCTACATTTCACGGGTGTCGGCTGTTGTTTATCTCACCTGGCGAACAGCCTGCCGGAACGACGTCGCCGATCCTCTCCAGCTCTTTTGTATACGTCAATCGATCGGAAGTGTCCAACGGCCCAACTGGCGAACTGATAAAGTGTGTGAGTAGACTGAATGAATTTCTGATTTGGCAATGGCCAAAATCTAAATTGCAAATCGGGCGGGCCTTGGCAAGTTAGGAGAACTGACGTCAGAGAGAGACAACTAAGAAAGATCGTGGGTGATCGTGGGATATGGAGTGGCTTTGGAGATGCACATAGTATTTACGAGGGTCCGGCGATAGATTGATCAGAACCGAAAGCTGAGCTAATAGAGGGTTTTGAGTTTTGAGTTTCGCGGCGCCTGTTTTATCGCCTGTTGGTGTGCTCTGTTTGTCTCAAGTTATTGTTTGGCCAACGGTCTATTTACCAACTAATTATATTACACATTCAGGCTTTTCCAGCGAAACCCTTGACTTGGACAAGGGCCCATGCGTCATGCAGTTCATTGATTCAACTGCCGCATGAACGATGGAAACACTCGACGAAAATTGGCTCTGTTCTCGATTAGATAGTCGTGATATTTATTAATAACATTAGCCCCCTCGCCTGACTAATATATATCACTTCTCACCTTCGACAACCGGGCAATGGCAATCAGCTGGCAACTGGTAACTGGCAACTGGCGGAAAGTTATGCAATTTCCAGAAGCGGAGAGATTGTTTGTTTGCCCAGTGGGGAAACCTAGTACTTCAAGGTTAAGGCGTTGCCTTTCCTGGTAAAGTATTCCTGCAGCTGAACTGAATTCCGAGATCTCGACTTTGTGCCACATGGGTAACACTGCTATTTGGCGTTGACTTAATTGATTAGAGCACCTGACTAATTTTCTTTTGGGGGGCTTTGCCTAGAGACAGCTTTGACAACGCGATTAAAGTTAATTTTTGGGTAAATATTGATATGATATCTTCATTGTGCGGCTGTATGCACTAACCATTAATTAAGGCCCCAATGCAAAGGTTATCTAATTCCTGACGTGGAAAAGTTCCAGTTTGTTGCAAATTTAATATTCCTTAGATGGAAAATCTCATAAAATGCGGGTAAATGGCTACTCATTTGCCAGCCTGACCCACATTAATGAGATATATGGAGTCCGTGGCGGGTTTCGTTTTCATTGACTCACTGACTCACTGACTGAGTGACTGACTAGGCGAGTGTCCCACAATGGATCGTCGATCGAGTGGCTCCGACTTTTCCGGGGCTGAGACTAAAACCGAGGGGCAGGCAAATGGGCTCCAATGAACCGGAAATTCACAATTAACCGTCAATCCCCCCTCCCCCCCACTCGATCCGTGTTTCATAACCCACTGCATCTGCATTTGGAGTCGACTCCGTTCGCAGAGGTGCAGTATTTGGATTCGAGTCGGAATCCAAATAAAAATCGTATTTGGAAATCGCACGTTCCGGCTCATTGGGCGCTGGACATTTATTTTCCGCCTAGGTGTAATTTTCAGATGCCTTCTTTGGCCCTCAGAAAATTGGATAAACAATGTGTACAAACACATTATTTTAATTGTTTCTACGTGCTGTTCTACAAAGGCTTGTTCGGTTGCTGGCCAAAAATTATTATATTATGATCTGGCGGCAACGTGATCACCTTTCGGCTCGGGTTTGATCCAACTGGGCGCCTTTATTTGGGGTCGGCGATTACAGTTACGCTGACTGGGAGAGTTCATTGGAGTCGGGACGCAGCCCCTTCACCTTCACCTTTCCCTTCCCCTTTCCCACATATCTTAAGATATCATGTAAATATAGATAACTGTAGTTTCACTTTTTCGGCTCGGCCCATTCCTAGAATGGAATGGGAACGCAAATGGGTGCTTTGTACGTGACTGTCGAATTGGTCATTCGATAACTTCTTGATTCGTGTAGAACAAGTGAGCCAAAGAAAAATTGGGCAGTGGGAAATTAAAAGTGGTTAGTGAATATTGAGAGCTGTATTTAAAAACATATTTTTGAGTAATGTATTTTACAATCTAAAATAAAAGGAAAGCTTATCTACTAAGGTAATCATAGAATTGATATTAATTAAAAAGCTGGGTTTGTTTGTGTTGTAAAAGAGAAATGCGAAATTAATGTTTATAAAGAGCTATATTTTAATAAATATTTTTGAATTATGTATTGTATATAAATTAATTAAAGGAAGCTTAAACAGCTGGAATTGATTGTGTAGCACAAGTGAAATGCAAAATTGGGCAGTGGGAAATTAATCTTTACAAATAATATATTTTAATTAAAATTGTTTAATGATGCATTCTAAGCTGTGATTTTTAAAAAATGTAATTAAATAAATTAAATCAAATTAATAAAAAATTAAAATACAGAATACAGTATTAGACAGTATTACTATAAGAAAACCCATGAAAACTCTGACGAAATTTGGCTTTTGGAAATTAATCTTTACAAAGAATATATTTGAATTATAATTGTTGAACAATGCATTCTGCGCTATGAATCATGAGTTAATCAAAGAATTCATCTTTATTAAAAGGATGTGATTTTTAAAAAATGTAATTAAATAAAAAAAATCTAATCAATTAAAAAGAAAAATACAGAATGCAGTATTAGATCAGAGTGCTAAAAACTCGCATTAATATAACAACTGAGTTATTTAGGTTATACTATAACAAAAACCCCGAGAGAATAAAAGTTTAGTGTCCTGTAAATGGACACTAAACTTTAATGCTTTGGGGTTTTTTTATAGTAAACCCCAAACACCGAGGCCCCAATACAAGCCTCCTGGATAGTTTGACTAATGCGCATAACCCTGATTCATTACGCAAAGACTCTCTCCCAAGTTAATCATGCTGTTGCCTCGATAAGCGATAAAGATTTTTCAGTCTAAGCCCGCCGCTGCAAGTGCAACTGGCAAATGGCATTCGCAGGTGGTCGCTAATCAACGTAATCAACTTGCAACAAGCTCGTTAGGCGAGGCAGACGCAGCATCGGCCGCGGCTTCATGGTAATCAGGCCACCAAGTTCTGGCCAACTTCTCAGGGGAACCGGGAATAAGAAAGGTGGACCTGGTGGGATCCAGCGAAGGCCGCTCTAACCAATTTGGTCATGGTGCTCCCTCTCAATCGCTGCACAGAAAACAATAATTGTCTTTTTTCTTATGTTCGGTTTTATCGATGTTCTGACCTTTAAAATATGTACCTTAAACATTATGATTAACTTAATTTATAGAAATTATACCTATTTTATTATTTTAAATGTCTAAATTTTCATAAATATGAATCCTACAAACATATATTATTTTTAGTATATATTATTATTTTATTATACATATATAGTAAAAAAATATAATATGTAGCTTAGATGTCTTTAAAATGATGAATCAGCATCGTGGAAGACCGTTTGAAGAATACAATCGTATTTATTGGAGCTTCAATTATTACTCATAATCTGTGGTAAGCCCCAGTTTCGCGCGTCATGGGAACCTTTATAGCTTCGAAGGCTATCAAAATTGTTTCAAATCTCTTAAATGTATAAGTTTTTCTCTCTGTAAGACTGGTTTATCGTGGCTGACACTTTAATGTCTAGGCAGCTAGCCTGACTTTACCGTTGCAGACTCGAGCGTTTAGCTGGGTCAAGGTCACCTCTACGGAAGGGGGTTCCTGTGCTATTCGTTGGCAGAATCCAGCAAAACGATCGCTGCAATTGGGGGTCTCCAGCCCGACGGCAATCTTCTTGCGATTCCAGGCACGCACTCATCAAATGGTCGCCATTCAACGCCATCATCACCAGGTCTTCCCCTCCATCGAGGCGATCCTCGGGGGTTCAGATGCTCAGATGTTCAGATGCTCCACAGATCGATCAGCGCCCAAGTGGCGGCGGCTGCTGCATTTGGTGCTGGCATTGCAAACTGCGTTCCTCATTGATTTTCGTTTCGTTTTCGATTTGCTTCGATATTATTCATGCCCATCACAGTGGCGCAGTCCGAAAGGGGCTTAAAGCTTAAATTTTTACCTGTTTGCAACACAATAAATAAAGTAAAAGGAAAGTAATCCTAGTAATTTATACATTTTAGTAGAATAGCTAATATAAGTCTCATTAAATAACTATAGTCGCAGCTAATACTACATATGTCCATCTATGTTAACTTTAATTTTGAAAGCTATTGTATTTGTTTATAATAATTTTAAAAAATAAATAAATAGTAGCTTGACTTGTAGCTAGTACTATCTCCATCCATGCTAACTTTAGTTTTGTAAATATTCTATCATTTGTAATAATTTAATAAATAAATAGTAGCAAAGCTGGAGAGGGTCTTGAACTACAAATAGTTTACCAAATAGTTTATGTACTTTCTGTATAAATCCCTTTCAATCCCAGTTTTAGTACGCCTTTGTTGCTGCAAAAAACATCGACGACCGCTAAACACAAAGCCGAGATTTTTCACAAGAAAATATTCATGTGAAGGCGAAAACTGCGCAGGCGCATGTTTTGTCAACTGGCAATCGGCTGACAAAAAGACAGTCAGACAGTCGGACACTCGGACACTCGGACATTCGGAGGCTAAGGCTGAAAACTCTGACGTTTGCGTGACAGCGGCAAGAGCAACAACTGCAAATGCTACAACAACAGCATCCAGACGCTGCTCTGACCAGTTACCAATTTTGGCAGCAAGACTTTCATTTATTCGCGGTTCGATTTTGGCAGTTTAGGATCGCTCGTTCAAAAGGGTATATCTCCTCCTGCGCATCAACAAATTGATATCGAATATTATAAGTTTCAAGTTGAATTTTGTATAGTACATTTTAGACTTGATTAATTTATAAATTGTCAATGTTAATCGCTGCATTTGTTAGTCTAGGGTGAAATAAAGTTTATCTAAAAGTCTTAATAGCTACTAAAAAATGTTCTCGATTTACTTAATAACAGCCAAGTTAATATTTTATATTATTTTTCTTTGTTCGAAAGTTGTCTTATCTATTCTTGATCAACAACATCAAATGGGGCAGAAAAATATCAGATTGATACATATTGTATTAACCATATTGTATTAACCATACATTATTTCTTATCGTTTGACAAAAATAATATGGGAACTTTTACTTTACATTGCATTTAACTTACAAATTTGTTTTTTAAAGGGTTCGATGCGCCATCTATTGTAAGTTTACAGCACTTGAAAATTTTAAGTGAGTTAAATACATCATGTATACGGCCGAATACTTTCAAATTAGCGACGCCATCAACCAGTCAAATGAATCTACTCTACAATAGTTATTTATTGTGACTTGTGACATATATCGATATGCAGATGCTCTAATCGATCTTCTAAGCCTAGCTTAACTTTAGAGTATTTAATTTAAAGTACAAAAAATAATTTTCATCTTGCTCATACTTAGCAATTCCACAGCATTTTTATTTTTTAGGGACAAGTATAAGTTGAAGTCACAAACATACGATTTGTAGGCATAATCTTGGACTGCTGGAGCGACTTATCAATAGTGGCGTTCTTTTTCGACTGAAAAATACAAAAATGTAATCGATGTTTCTCCAAAGTGAATACGATCGACTTATCGATAGTGGAACCTATTTCCGTTGACATTCAACAAGTGTTGCACTGAACCCTCAGTTGAGTTTCGAACTTCAACAGGAGTTGAATACGCGCTAGAGTAGAAAGCGATCTTACGAGTCAACCGGATCGGTAAAGCAAAACAAGCCAGCGGAATTAACAGACGAGCACGTGATCAGCGTTGCCAATCGTAAATTACATCCGTGTGCCGTACCTAAAACTTCATACCACCGGTGTGCCAATCAACTAAAGTTTGTGTGTTTCTTTTAGCGATCAAATATCAAATTCTTGGATTACCACCACACTTCACTTAGTGACCAGTTGTCTGCAAGCAGACCGCTTATAAGGTGAGTTTTTTGGAGAATCAAAACCATCTACATTTTAAGGAATCGTATTGAATCTCGTTTGTGAGTCGGAGTTCTGGAGTTTTTGGAACTGCAGGGGCTTATGGGATGGCGGGGTTTTGGGGAAGGGTAACTGAAAGAAAAGTGCAGTGCAAGCGAGGGATGGCATTTCGTCATGCTAAAGAGTGAGTGGAAGTGGGATCACGCTAGTGGCACCCCTGCCACCTAGCAGTTGTCTCGCTCTCTGAGCGTATCTTTCCGTCGCTGTAAGTGTGTGTGTGTTCGTGTATCTGCTACCTGTGTATCTGCCTTACCTGCCATATCTCAAAAAACATACCGAAACGCACTCACACACTGGCGACTCGCCTGCAGCTGCTCTTGCGGGTGTGTGTGTGAGAGTGGTAACTTGTGGGTATATTAGTGCTGTGGTGACATATAAATTTCAAACCTGAGTCGCAATTATCTGAATATATTCTGCAGTCTGCGGGATCATATTTTTTTGGTTTAAGACCACCCACCAATTTTATCAGTCGGGGCAAATAAGTTCCCATTTTATTTATACCAACAAAAAATACGAGCTCTTAATCCCAGTTAAGGCAAATGCACTGGGAAAGCGAAACAGTCAGGGAAAAAACAGTTAAGAGACAACGCGTTTACTTTTCACAACAACAAAAGCCACAAGGTAGATAAGATTACACCTGCATATGTATTTGTATTTGTGATTCTCTTCGCAGTGTGTGTGTGCGAGTACTGAAAGGGGAAAAACGAGAGGGAAAGGGGTGAAGAAACCGGTAATGCATTTACTCAAAAAGAAGTCACCTTCATAACAAACTCAACGCTCTGCTGCAAAAACACAACATGCTCAACTGTCACAGCCAGAGAGATAAATCTATATAGTTTGGGTCCGACCATGATCGAAGTTTGCATATGCCACATACTACCAAAAGTATGTGAAAGATGGGCAAACCGAGAGTATTGGAAAAGCTGAGCTCGACCAGAGACTCGCTTTTTTTTCCAGCTCCAAAGGTCGAACGAAATACGTATAATGGCCATATATACCACAAGTTCGTGTTTAATCGGCTTTGAGAGCTTCCTGTAGTATCGGCCAATTAATCACAGACCAAAAACTTCGATAACGGCCACGAAAAAATTCTGGAAAATAAATTATTTATTTCTATGCATAATTCAGAACCAGTTCCAATCGATTTTCAATTTTAATGCTAGCCTTTTTTTTATAACCATCTTCGTTGGCTGTGGCGGGCACGAAGCTGGAATTTAAATGAAATGTACCGAGATCTCTGGGCAATAAACACACGCTCATTTGATTTTGAGGTGCGACTCGGATTTCCAGACGTAATCAACCAGTTCAGAGGAGTGCACTGTGAATTCCTGGAGAACGATTTGGTATGCAAATTTCGCCCCCAGCTCGAATTATTCTTGGGCAGGGCACTCGATCCGCCACAGGATCACCCGCATATAGTGTGACAAGCTGTCGCCAGTCGGCTGACGAATACGGGTGGCATTATCTAATCGCAACATAAGCCGGTTCCACATAGGAACCTCCGCCCGTACCCATTTGTACTTTAACACAGATAAAGAGCCGAAAAGCAAACACGGGCCAGTTGAGACTTTGACTCGCTCCGCTGAGAGTTAATGAGGTCACAGTACTCTCCGCTCTAGCTGGTTTCATGGCTGGTAATTGGCCGGAGGTAGTGGCTCCGCTCCGAGTACCAGTTGGCTCTATTTTTTGGACGTAGAGCAACGTAGAGGCTACGCCGTGGAGGGCAAATTATGAATACTTAAACACATATTTTATGGACAGCCGGAGCTGGGTTTAAGTGCCCAGCCAAACATTGGCCAACAAGTCTGTGGGATCTGGGTGTGTGGGTAAACCTGGCTTAGAGCCGTGTCTAACACAGAACTTAAGTGTCGGCACATGCGGCGTATGCGCGATATCACAGCTTTGCTCTGGCTCACTTAGAAGTTTTTTATTTGGCACATGATTGCCATACGAAAACAGCGAAGCGCTAAAGCAAACTATTTTCGAGCGACTTAACGATCAACGATCCAGGTTGTTTTGTTTTAACAGCCTGGTCAACAATGATGTCATTTGAATGGGATTTGGTTAGCTAGAGGGAAAGCCAAATGCAATGCTCTCTGGCAGCTTTTTTCACTGCTCAATTGAGCATGACGACCGCCTCGCATATTTCGCACCCACATTGCGTTGACATTTTACCTTAACCCTGAATCTAATCGATCAAGCCTGACAGTCAGACAGAGATAGGTATTAGCATTAATCAATTTCGGCCATAAACCATTAGTCATCCATTGATGGCTCCACCAAGCAGCTGACAAATGAAGAAATGTTTTGGCCCTATTCTCGGCCGCGACTTTCTCCCCTTTTGCAATTGTACTCAACGGAACTCAACGGTCTGGTCGGTTGGATGCTAAACCTCTTGGCGGGATCGCCTTGACTTGCTTTGCTTTCGGCTGACCATAACTCAAGATCTCCAGCCTAAGCCGATTTCACAGACTCAAAGCTTGGGTTCAGGGTCTCAGTTTTGGGCTCGGATCGTTACCCATTGCCTGGGCCAATGAAATGCAGAGACACTTGGATGGAAGTGACTCAGAGGAGTGCGCTTACGTGCTATGCACGCCGTTTGCGGCTCGGAATGCGGCTTGGAACGTGGCCAACTTACGTAGGTAAACGCCCAGTTGCAGTCATTTATACCCTTAATTTAAGCGATTCATTACTGGAGTAATATGCTCTACGCATTCCAAAAAAAGATGATTGCATACTCCAGTTTTGGCGTCATTGTGACTCAGTTTAAAAACCATTGAATATAAGAATGTCAACAATTCAATGATAGTCGCTTCTAGGAAATCACTGCTATTATCAATATTAACATTGGTTTGCATTGGTTTTCTATTAATTTTTTTTTTTTAAGTTTGTATCATCATTACTTTTTTTTTCATATTCCCAAACAATTGACTCATGGTTTACTCCGAAGTGACAAAAGGAAGTATAAATAAATTTCAAAAATGATTAGGTGCTTTTCTTTAAATAACAACCAATGAATATATTTTAAATTCATTTTAACGCCCGCGCATTCTTCGGAAATGCTTAAAAGACATTTGCCGGGCTTAAAAGATGGCTAAAACAACTAAAACAATCTTGCTTAATGGTCGTCTGTGTGAACTTATGAAGCAACAAATAAATATTATTGTTAATACCTTTAAGGTGATTGCAGAACCATTGACAACCGTGATCTGTGGCATTCAATACTATAAGTGGTAGGTGCTTAGCACTCGACATTTAATAAATATATAGATGGCTCAGCGGGTTGACAATTCCAGGCATTCGTCTCTAGAAACGCTCGTTCGACCGATAACCAATACGTGATGGTAAAACGCCTTTGTTATTGAAAACAAAGCCTCGTTCGAGTGCAAAGTTTAGCGCAAAAAGGTTGCAAAAAAAAGTTTTTTTGAAAACTAACACTTGGTTGGGTAAACAAATCAGGTTTCCGTCGACTAGACAGCACAATGAAAAGCGCTTTTCAGCTGGCGGCGGGAAAGTCGTGTCACAGCCAGACTTCTAGCCATCCAGCACTGTAAAAGTCGGAAGCTGGGACAGAAAAGCAGTACAGATATCGCTAATGAACCGCCCCCGCCCGGTGAAAGCCGGTTTCTCATACTCACCGCCTCCTTAAGTTCTTAATTTATGCCCCGCTTCCTGCTTCAGCATCAGGGCTATATATACGATGCACCCGATGATATTGCTCGATCCGAACAAAGGGCAATTGCAGGCAAGGAAGCAGGCATAAATATCTGATCCCAATGGCTGAAATCAATTTACGGCAGCTTTAATAACTGAATTTCGGTGCAGGGACTTCCCTCCGATAACAGCAAATGACATTTTAATTCCGATCGATCAAGAGGTATTACTTAACGATCGCTTTTAGTTAAGAAAGGTGATTTCCTTCGCAAGAAGTTGCAGCTGGTGCAAAATTATGCTCTGCCAATATATGTAATTAGTTGAGGCTCCAGAGACCTTTTAGATTAGCTTTACGAGTTCCTATAATCTGAAAGCATTTGAAATGGTGATTGTAGACAATATATGTCAATATATGTATTGAATAGACAATAAAAAGTGTTTTTGCGATTAAACTATTTACGTAAGCGTAATTACATTATTATGATTCTTAAAGCGCACATTCCCTGCAGAGGGTTCAAGCAACTCGAACGTGACACAATCGGTTATTATATAGAAATTCGCTTTGGAAATGTTTGAGTTTGAGCGAATTGAAATGGCTTTTAGCAAGAATTTTTCGTAACTCGTAAAGTCATCTGCCTGACTTTTGGCTGCCACCGGGCAAACCTGGCTCACACAGCTGCTCCGAGTGGCAATTTCCAGCCAAAAACCAGTCTGGCCATCTTTCAAAGGCAACAGTTTCCCCCTTTTTTACTGACTGCGTGCTGGTGTGTGTGGTCAAATGTCGGCATTTTTTATACTTTTGTGTATATTTTTTATCGCTCGCCTTGGGCAATTGCGTCCATTGTACTGCCTGGCTGCAAAAAATTAACGTTGCAGAAATTATGTGTATGCCGGAATGGCGTCAACCGAATAGGACACACCACTCTAATGTACGGGTGAAATTCGATCTCTGAACAGTTGGCCAGCGGTGTGTTTTTTTGGCCAGAAATCATGATCGTAATTCGCCATCAAACTCGTGATGCTAATGAATCGGTCAACAAATTTGACGGCGTCGTGATCCGCAGATTAAAGGCCGGATGGAATTGGTTTTGAGCCACCCTAATGAAGACATCAGCTGAGGCATTTCCGTTCTGCCAGTCTTCCTTGTCTTCCCAAGGATCGATATCCTTAAAAGGAACAGATGAGATCCCAAAGAAATGCAATATTCTACCTAAACGTCCGTTCCTCTCGTTTCACTTCCTGTTAACGCCAGCTATTTTTACCCAGACAGCTTCATTATTATCCGCCCACGCACACAGACATGTTATTTGAATGTTTCGGGTATTTCTGGGTATTTGCCAGAGACATTTTTGTGTTGATCTTAAGTCGGAGTCAAGGCGAAACTACCTGAGTTCGATAACGTAGGCCGAGGTTCATTTGCTGACCTTGCTGATCCCGTTGCTCTCGCTCCGGAGGAATGCAGGCCCACTCTTTTTCGGGAATATAATTTATAATATTGGCTGGCCAGGGGTCGCACCCAGTTCCAATTTCAGAACGTCGCACCCATGCACAATTCGATAACCACATGACTTTTCTGGGCAACTTGATACTAAAACACTAAAGGAAGCAAGCTACTTCAAGCCGAAGAGTATACACTCTTGCAGATATTTTAGAAATAAAATATTCTATAAAAGTTTCATCCAGATAGCTTTAAAATTGGGAGACTAGTTTGCGTTGAAACGGACAGATGAACATTGCTGGATCGACACTCTTGATTATTATGATTATGCTTATAAAGAATACTTAATTGCTAACTTTGTTAGGATATTATAATCCCCTTTGCAAGAGTATAATGAGGTCTGGAGGCCCTCATGGGAAACGTAATATGTTGATAATCCCGACCACATGCCTACATTCTTTAAACCAGTTGATAAGCTCCCAAAAACAAGCGATAAACCCAAACCAAATTATAATAATAAATCTAAGCTTGCAGACGTTTACGTTTTAACAAAACTTCGTTGGTATCACGACTTTAAATCAGTTGGATATCCGATACCCCGACGAAGTGTGCCTATAAATTCTAAACAAAACGATACGTTTCCGTATTGGGTTACGTCGAGTGCAGGGCCATTAAGTATAACAGGGCGAGATCGGGGTTTATCTCGATCGAATGTCAAAGTGTTCTACAAACAGTTTCAGGAAAGCATTTCCCCATTGGCTAATAGTTAATTACATGCACGACACTACAATGCACTCAGAAATATATGTATATCGATCAATGAGGGGGGGCGAGATCGGTTATATCCCGACTAGTGCTAATCTTTACAGCTGTAGATAGCCACAGCAATATGATGAATTGGCTGACTCACGAATTTCCGAGTGAAAAACGTATTTGCATACATGTACAAGTATGGCCAGTGCCAGTGCCAGTTACCGGTTTCTCTCTAAACTTGAACAGCACCGCTCCACAACACACAACACACAGAGACTGCTGTCGAATAGCCCAGTTCATGCGGACATCTGTGTATACACATATCGCCGCAATGACAGAAATGGAATTAATTATGGTCGTAGTGTCGGCGGCGCCTTGGCCCAAGCCAAAGCCAATCCAAAGCAATCCAAAGCAAACCAAACCAAACCAAGCCAAATCAAAGCCAATTCAAAGCGAGCCAAAAAACGCCGTCTGGCTCACAACATCTTTCGTGACTCGATGAAATGCTAGCCGAAAGACCTAAACACGTTTCATGCAGTTTTCCCTTCGGCTTTTCGCTGCAGCTCTGTGGCAATCTCAGCCAGTCAACTTGACACCCACTCACAACTCTGAGCTGGCTAAGCGGTTTTCTGGGGTCTAATGAAATGCTCTAACATACGATATGTGCACACGTATATTCCCATATATTGGCTGGATAAATGCGATCTATTCTGGCCGCGTTAACTGCGCACTTTGCATTCGCTGGCTGGCTCAGATCTCGCGATCCCGGGTCGTTTGCCTGGTTACAAAAATTAATACCTAAAGCTCTTTGTTTACGGATCGGCGGGCCACGGTCTCGAATTATGTGTTTGTTTTGCCATGAAAACGCAGGCAAACACAGGCGGGCTTTCAAAAGGGGCATCCGCAACGGAATCCGCATCGAATGGCTGGAAAATGCATTCCGAAGGGGACAATTGCATAAGGCTCGAAGAGTCGCGTTTTCAGGCTGCTTTCGGAATTTTCTAAGAACCAGCAAGCTGGCAAACGAGTTCTTAATTGGCGTCAAGAAACGCTCCGTGGGGATTCCCCTGCTCGAATCGATTCATAAGCCACGTTATTACTTAATCGTTTGGTTAGGGTGTGCAAGTCAGTCGCCTTTTAATCAAAGGGCAAATAAACCGAAAGCCAAATAAATAAATAAATAAGCCATGGGCTCCAGCTGGCGACAGTCGAAACTCGAATTGAGATTGAAAGTCAGCGTTTCTGTATCTGATCGAGTGAGGCAACTTTCCGATTTGCTTTGCTAACCGCTGATATACACTCGTATTTTTAAGGGAAGGGAAGTACTTTACGGATATGGTCGAAAGTGCCAACTGCTTTCGCCCAATTCTGAGTAACGATTTGAAAATACGAGGAGAATCATTTACGCTTGTTTATCAGGCGACAACGAAACAATTGCCATTAAACGATAAGCAAACAATTGGCAAATTCGTGGATTCGGCTTGGTGTACTGACTAAATTAGCATGGTCAATGATGTCAGCTCTCGGGTGCCAAAGTGCCAATGAGGGGAGTCAACATGGCTCACCGTTTCGCCACGCAGATCGTCGATTTTGGGGGAAGTGAGTGATACAGAGTCCGTATTCTGAGGCCAGCCATGACTACAGCAACTTCCCCTGAATGTTGTTGATTCAATAAGCGTATATCTGCTTATCTGGCTCCAGCAATTAGCGATAAGATAAGTTGGCTCCATTGGGTGTGAGTCGTCTGTTTTTCAGTTTCTTGCAAGTGGCCATAACTGTACAACGCGCACTTTTCGCTTGGTCCATTTCAGTTTGCCCATCTACCGAAGAATGGGTCGCAAGTCGACTTGCAGGCTGGTCCTGCTGTTGGCCTTCAGCCTGGCTCTAATCCACGCCAGCCACTCATACCCCGAGAGCCAAAAGATCAAGTACGTCCACGATGATCTGACGGAAAACGAGCTGGACTCCGGCGAGGATGTGAGTCCCGCCGAGAGCCTGCCCAAAATCTCCACGCCCAAGGCTAAGGAACTAACCGTGGAGACGACCACCAAGAGCGCGGATACCACGACCACGTCCTCGGACACCGAAAGGTCCCTCAGCGCCGAGGCCATCAAGGACCTGTTGGAGGCGGCCAAGCACAGCCAAGCGCTGATCGAGGATCCGCACTTCAACCAGATGATCAACGCCACGTCCACGTCTAAGGCAAAGAACTCCACCGACGTTGGGGATAACTACGATGACTACTCCTACGACGAGGATGACTACGACTATTCCAACGAGGACAAGGAGACGACCACCTCCAGTCCCAAAAAGAGCAAGGCCAAGCCCAAGCTGCAGCCCATCGTGGACACAGCCTCATCGAAGCCTAAGGTACTGTTGATAAAGATATATATATGCACAATATCGGAAAGTATAGTTATTTTATTTACACTCTAGGGCAAGACCAGCGATCAAAAGACCAAGGAAAAGACTAACGACATCGACAGCGACTCTCAATACGAGTACGACGACGATTTGGATGAGGACAATGATGATGATGAGGAGGACGATGCTTCTGACGATCTTTTGACCGACGATGAGCAGGTTGAGTTCAGCGAGAACGTGCCCTGCCCGCGATTCTGTACTTGCGCCCGAAATGTCAACAACTACCTGGTTGCCACCTGCAGAAGGTTGGTCATTGAGAATTCCCTAAATCCTTTAGAGCTTTGATAAGCAATCCAAATCCTTTGCAGACTCGACGTGGGCACCCAGAGGTTTGGCTCGGACATCACGGACCTGGTGGTGACCAATGTGGGTCCCAAATACCCCATCCTGATGGGCCCCAAATTCTTCTCGAACCTTGGCCTCAAGAACGTGGCTTCGATCAAGATTGCCAACTGCACCTTGGAGTACTTGCACGCAGAGGCCTTCCACGGGCTGAACGAGCTGTATGCGGTTAACTTGACGGATGTGGGCTTGGCCATCATCAATCCGGATACCTTTGTTACGAACAAGAAGTTGCGCATGCTGACCATCTCGGGTAACGACCTAAGCGTAATGTCCGCCGTTCGCTATATTTTGAAGGTGGGTAGTCCTATATAATCATTCAAAGTTGATCAATGCCTGATACACCTGTGTTTCGTAGTCTTCCAGCATCGAGGAGCTGGACATCTCGCGCAACAACCTCATCGAGCTGCACCCCAAGGCCTTCTCCCAGCTCTCCAATATCGTTTACATCAACCTGAGCCAAAACAGCCTGAAGAAGGTGCCCGAGAAGGCGTTTGAGAACATTACAATGCTGGAGGAATTGGACCTGTCCTACAACTCACTGACTGAACTGCCCCGCGATATCTTCAATGGCACCTCTCTGTCCATTCTGCACCTGAAGTACAATACCTTCAATGGCGACCTGCACTTTGGCACCAAGGATCTGCAGCAGGTGGATCTGAGCTTCAACGCGATTGTCCAGGTGCACCACACCATGTTCGACAAGATGCCCGGCCTGACCAGCCTGAACCTCAAGGGCAACGGCATCAAAAAGATTCAGCCGGACTCCTTCCTCACGCTGAAGAGTCTGCGGCACATCGATCTGTCGATCAACGAACTGGACCAGATCTCGGGAATGATGTTCTTCAAGAACTCCGAGCTGGACGTCATCCGCTTGAACGATAATCCTCGTCTAAACCAGCTGCCCACCGATGGCTTCCTGAGCTACAGCGGCGAGTTCACTGTGTACTACCTGGACCTTTCCAACTGTGCCATCGGTGCACTGGGCCACAAGGCCTTCGCCACCATGCCCCATCTGACCACCTTGAAGTTGGCCTGGAACAATATCAACCACCTGCCCCGTGAGATTTTCACAGGACTTACCAAGCTGATTGATTTGGATCTGAGCAACAATCTGATTCCCCGCATGGACGATCTGATCTTCGAGGACAATGGAGAGCTGACCAAGCTCAGCCTGGCCGGCAACCCCATCAGCCGCTTGTCCGTGCGCCTCTTCGAGCCACTGCATCAACTGCGTTCCCTGGACGTCAATGACTGCGAACTGACCGCCCTGCTCTCCGATCGCCAAGCAAACATGGTTTACAAGATCTTCGACAGCCTGCGCAGCTTCAACGCCTCTGGAAACCTGATCAAGAAGATCTCCTCGGAGGATGTGAAGAGCTTCAAGAACCTGCGCTCCCTGGATATCACCAACAATCCTCTGAAGTGCACCCGCGATTTCCAGGACTTCATCAGCTACGTCACTCTGCAGATGCAGATGACTCCCAAGCGCATGCCCGTGCTGGCCAATCTGGAGGACGATGCCACCATCGTGGAGCTGGAGACGCAGGCGCAGGCCGGATGGGCGACTCTGGCTCACCAGGTGTGCAAGCACGAAGAGGGATCAGATCTGCTGGATGAGAAGAAGGCCGACAGCGCCGAGGCCAAGCTGGAGAAGCGTCTGAAGGAGAGCGAGAAGAAGCTGGACGAGGACGAGGAGAAGCTGCTGAGTGTCCTGGACAAGAGTGTGCTGGACAAGAGCCGTCTGAGTAGCATGCAGAAGATCATGAAGGGATCGGTCAACGCCGAAACCCAGAAGCCAGAGGAGGACAGTGCCGAGGAGACCATTAACAATGGCGGCGAGGATAAGGATGACGACGTTAGCGACTATGACAGCGAGGAGGACGATGACGATGATGACGAGGACGACGACGACGATGAGAGGTTCGAGGAGGAAAGGAAGAAGGGCAAGGCCAAGAGCGAGTCGGACAAGGCCTTTGACACGTTTGTGAACAAGGAACTGAAGCCCCTGCTTAAGGATGAAGGCGTCAAGGCGGAGGAGGTGGATATGTCCGAGGAGACGAACGACAGGTTCCTGTTGGGTGAGTTTTCCTTTAAGGATTTAGGCCTAGGAAATTGTAAGACTAACAGAATCTTATCCTATCCACTCCAGATAAACTTGGCTTTGTCAGCGAAAGCGGGGAATCGGATGAGTTCACTGAGAAGGTGATCTTCCACGGCCGACTGTCCTACGACACGGTGGTCCCACTGATCATCGTGTCCTTCTGCCTGCTGATCATCGTGCTGTCCATCGCCCGGGTGATCTACGTGGTGCTCCGGAAGCGTGGCGAGCGTTACCGCATGGCCCTGCTGGCATCGAAGAACTCGTTCGTGTACCAAAAGCTGAGCGAGGACATCGTGAAGCCCACCACCAGCAAGGACCAGAAACAGCCCAAGCATCTGAAGCAGCCCAAGGTGCACCGGTACGCGCCCATCAACCAGGTCTAAGTCCACCTGGAATCAGCAGTTCCGGGCCGGACTTCGCGGAAGTCGAACGAGTTGCGCTGTTTTTCTAATTTATAAGTTTATTGATAGTTGAACAAGTGGAAATCGCATCAGACAATTGACTACACACAAGCACAAGAATGAAAAGAAACAGGAGGGGGAACTCGTCGAGGAGCAGCAGTTGGCAGTTAAAAGTATTAGCGAAAGTGCGAGGAAACAAAGCAACAACTGAGAAATACTTGAATCCAAATAAGAGAGAGAAGAAATCGTAACAGCAAATTCCTTTATCCCTGAAATAGCCTATCCCGCCTAGTCCTGTTGCAACCAGTCAAAAGGTAATTGGCAACAGCAGAGGGGGGGTTTAGAAAAAGCGTTTGATTAGCAACCGTTTCGAGAGCAACGGACTTGCCACTGATCGAACCAGTGCCTTATAACCCACATCCAATATATCCATACTTATGAGAATTTCGGGAACAACTTGAAGATTTAGTGCCATTTTGCCAAAATTCAAACCGAGCGAAAATTATTAAACAACATTAGTGTTTCTAAAACTGAGTGTCAGTCAGGAACGAGAAACGAGGAGCAAAGAGCAGAAAGTAGCGAGGGTCTGTGTAGCAAAGAATAGGAAGACTCCCTAAAATAACGTCTGATTTTTAATCTGATCAAGAGATGAGCGAAATAATTAATGCATAAACTATGTTAAGTCTTTTTTATTACCTTTTTTCCAATCGAAGTCAAGCAACCGCTTGACTTTTTCGACTTTGAAACCAATTCCGAAAACAATAAATTATTTTAACCAAACCGATGGTAATCTTTACAATGCATACTTAATAGACATACATACGTACTTTTAACAATAACATGCCTTTCAATAAAATTGAATATATTTTATCTGCGTTCAATAAAAGACTCGAGTGGGCTGATATTCACTTCCTCCTTTGCGTAGAGCGTTAGCTTCCTCCGAAAGCCGAGTGCAAAGTCGTTTACTTCCTTATCCCGCTTCAATTCCTCCCGGATTTGGCGCCACATCCGTTCGAATCCACTGTCGAAGGGCATGCCCAGGAATCGATTGTGTCTGGATCGGAGTTCCTCGCCGATCTGCTGCCACATTAGCTCGAACTCCCTGTCGTAGGGCATCCCAATGAACTTGCTCTCACAGTCGGAGTAATCGAACATGAAGGAATACTCGTGTTTGATATGGCGCATGTCGAATATCTACAATTCTATTTAATTTAAATATAAGCAGTATATTTTAAAGTCCATATGCATACGATGACCAAAACTGGTAAGATTAACGCCGAAGGAATGGATTGAAGTGTTATGACTATGTACTTCTTATTCAGAATTTTTGGTTTTCAAAATAATATGATTATTTTTTAAAAATATTCAAAGAAGCAGCGTGGATCTTGTCACTCCGGCATAAAAACTAAAACTGAAATCTTAGAACCAGAACAAAAGAGAGCCCAAAACATTATGCTGAATATACATAAAGTCAATTGCGCCAAAGAACATAAACAAAGGCAAGGAATCAAATTGCAAGAGATTCTGTATAGGATTTTTAATGGTATTTTTCATACATACATATATTCATAAAAAAGTCCGTTCTGGTCGCTTTTAAGCTTAGTATTTATGTTTGTGAAGTTGGAATTATGAAAGCTTAAGTATGGTCAGTTTAAAGAAGGAATCCGTTAGTTTAACACCTTTTCTTGAAGCGAACAAGTTGAGCGTGGGTAAGTCTAATTCCCAAATTAATATACCACCATGGAGTTCTCGAAGAGCTGCGACAGGTTTTCCTCCGTCTGAGCCCTGGGTGCCAACTTAGTGATCCTCTCCTGGGGCAAGGTTCCCTCGACCAGTGCGGGCACATCGCTGCTGGAGAATCCCAGCTCACGGAGGCCATTTTCAATGCCCGCGCGTTGCATAAAGCCGCGTACAGTGTCCGCCAAAAGTCGACCGGCGTCTGATTTTCGAACACCTTGCACATCTGCCCCCAGCAACTGGGCAGCCTCCAAGTGGCGATCCGGGCAGGCGGGTGCAGTGAACTCAAACACAGCCGGAGCACTGATCACCACCGATAGTCCATGAGGAATGAGAGCGTGATCCGCCGCGTAACCCTTCGGCTTGTAGTCCCTCACATTTCCGGAAATCGGGTAGGACAGTCCATGGCACAGGTGCACTCCGGCATTGCCGAAGCCCACGCCTGCCATCGTGGATGCCAAGTGCATCTGGGAACGGGCCTCCAGATTATCGGGCTGGTAAATTGCATCCACAAAGTTCTTGCGTATCGCCTCCAAGGCAAACCGAGCCCACACATCCGACACGGGATTTCTGCCCTGGTACGTAGGTCTCAGGCTGGGATCACTGGGCGCCGGACCTCGTTCCCTGTAATCCACCGCCGTGAAGCTCTCCAGGGCGTGGCAAAAAACATCAAAGCCAGCGAAGGCCATCACACGTTCCGGCTGGGACAAGGTGTGCAGGGGATCAATCAGAGCTGAGGTTATACAAACAGATAATTAGCTAGTGAAATATATATTTAATGGGGCATGTTCCGGTTTTCACTTGGATAATTAGCTTAAATTGAATTTAAAAATTCAAAAGAATTAGCATTTTATCACATATTCAATTTCATGTAATGAAACCATATTGAATTCAACAGAAAGTCAATAAAAATAATGCTAGAAACAGGTCGGCCTGTTAAAGTTCTTACCTAAAGTAGGCTTTAGGAATTTGCTGGATATCCCAGTTTTGGCGTGCAATTTCTTGTAGTCAAATATAGCCACTCCAGTGGTTTCCGAACCAGTTCCCGAGGTGGTGGGCATGGCAATCAGAGGCTTCAGCTTCACAGATATCTGAAGGGAGTTATATATAACCAATTTAACTTATCATATAACCAATTATGTAAACCATGTAGACTTCACCTCCTTGCACTTGCCAATTGGACAGTTGACGTAGTCCAAAAACTCAGCCTCCGGATCACTGCTAAACAGATTGGCTGCCTTGGCCGTGTCCATGGCTGATCCTCCTCCAATGGCCAGAAAGGCATCGAACTCCTTGCGACGGGCAAACTCTGCGGCATGCCACATGCTGCCATCCGTGGGCTCCACCCGCGTTTCATCGTACATTTCGTAGTTGATTCCATGGCGGGCCAGTGAATCTAAAGCCACTTTCACGGATGGCAACTGTGCCACATTTCTGTCCGTAACCAAACACACCCTCTGGGCTCCCAAGTTACGAAGATCAGCTCCCACTTCCGCACTTACTCCAGGTCCAAATCGCACAGTTGAGGCGGACATCTAGGAAATATGAAAGGAATTTATTAATAAGTTGATTATTGGTACATTTATTTATTGGTGGGAAATAAGAATTTCTTAATTCTTAAATTCAAAAGTTTTTTTTTTATTCATTCTTTAAATCTTTTTTTTTTTGAAAAGTTCTTAAAAGTTATGCTTCTTACTTTTGGTTAGTATATTCAGGTAATCATATAACTTATACGGGTTTTGGGGGTACAAAGTTTAAGGTACAAATTTCGCTATGAATTAACTTGGAAACATTATTTTTTTGATAATATAAGTGATAAATGTAAATGTTTCTTTTAGAAGAACCAAATTAAAAAGAGATTTTTTTATAGAAATAAAAAAAATCGTCGGACTTAAACTGACTATATACAAGAAATACAGGTTTTGGGGATCCAAAATTCAATGTAAAAACTTCGCTTTATGAGTTAATTTAGAAACATTATCAACATTTTTAATATGGATAATATAAAGTATAATATAAAGTATATATAAAGTATATATAAAGTATATGGATAGTATAAAGTATAGTTAATGTATCTTTCAGAAGACTAACAAGAATGATAATAAGATTTCATTGACAGAATTAAAAATATTTATTAATAAAATCACTTTATCATTCTTCACCTCTTCTTCACATATGATCTATGTATCTCAGTAGTTCAACTAAATATTATACATTTTTAATGCAGAGTCTGTGGTTTTTCTGAATGTTTAAATTGTTTAATTTTCATGGGACAGGTATATTTAAAATAGATTATTATCTTAAACAGACTTTGGCAGTCTGTCTGGAGATGCAGGTGTTTCAAAGTCCAAGTTATAGCCACTTACCTCAAAGGCGTATTCCATGCGACCAGTTTGGGAGGCGGAAGGCGCAGCTGATCCATAATTATGCGAGTGGGCGGGGCACTTGCAGCTATAGAAGTTTTAAAATATTTATTCTATTAAGAAAACAATAATAGTTAAGTTTTTAATCTTACGAGTTGGCCACGATCGTGTTGATCAAACTCAAAACATTCTTGCGCGACATTATGTACACAAATGAAAGCAGCTGATTGGATTCTTCGTCTGATAAGAACGCGAATCGATAGCTGGCGCCGAACGATAACACTTCTTAATCGATAGCTAACTTTTTGAATTTTTTTTCTTTGCAGCTTTCAAAAATAGAACCCGAAAATGTGCGACTACCAGAGGGAATACTCCTTTATTTTTGAGGACAGCTCCTGCGAGGGCGACGTCTCGATGGCCGTCCACGACAATGGATTCGAGTCCTTGTGGCAGCAGGTGGGCGAGGAGATGCGAAGGGAGCGGGAGATGAACGAGCTCGAGCAACTTTTCCAGCAAAAGTTGACCCTGAGTCCGCCGGCCTTCGCAGATCCATGGAGATTCTGACCGAACCGCTTAAAGCCAGCTCATTGTGATATTTGTATATAATAGAATTAGCAGATCATCAATCATTCGCCATAATAGTGGCCTTCGTTAGAGCATTTTTGACAAGTGCTCGTAGATTTTATATTATAACTACCAGTCCGAAACGGTTATTGTATACTTTTGTTCAAGCTTAGTTTATGAAGTCATCTGTCCGTGTTTTCAAATGTTTGCTTTCGTGAAAATTCGCTTTGTTTTGTCACTTTACCAAGTAATCAATTTGTACCAAGCTCATGATTGTCCTAGATCTTAAATTGGCAATGCCTTGCCTTCGATATGGTAAACCAATTGTATTGGCCCAAAGAACACACAATGTATACAAGAGCAAAGTGGGAAGCTCAAAATTGTCAAATCCTTACCCAAAACGATTCAAATAAATTTACAATGTACATATACATAAAGTAAAATCGTTTGAAAAACTATTCATTTTTAATTAGCGATCCCAGAGAGAGATGTGACTGCGATTCAATTGTAATGGGAACAATTGTTCGATGGAGCTAATTACCTAAATGTATGTCCGCCCATTTTTCGCGCTAGATTTACAACTCAACTTGGCGCGTTATCAGCCGCGATCTGCGAACATAAACAACTGGCAATGGTAAACGATGTTGACGGCTATTCTCCTCATTAGCATGCAGATTGTCGCCGATCTGCTGGGCGCCAGAACATAAAACGTTCGATTCCCGGCCGATTGGTCAGCAGTTTGCATCCAACTGGTGATTACTCGACATCGCGAGATGAAGTGGCTAAGCGTGTTCCTGGTTTTCGGAATCCTCGGGCTCATCGGCAGCCTGGGCACCCTATCGATGGCGGAACCCCATCCGGAACCCAAGGGTCGTCCCCACACCACCCGACGTCCGAGGAACGACAACGACAGCGATCGACGCTAGCAATCCGGGCGGATGGAGGAGATGGAGGACAAGGTCCAGCGAAGATGCACCGATCCGCAGAAGACACAGGAGGCACATCGACTCTCGGTGAAGGTGAAATGTTTTGGAGTCGAGAAAATGCAATATGTTGAGGTCCTGCTCATCTAGCGGGCGGGATTTCCCCGGTTACACAATAAAGACGCTTCCGTTTACAACAGAGTTTTGATCATTGGTTTATTCGATAGTTTCTTCGTCATAGGTCTAGAGTTAAATTGGTCAGCTTAATAATACCCTGACGCTTACGGGGATTCTTCGATACTGATAGATTGGCGGATTAAGCGGGCTGACTGACTTTCTTTGGTTGTGCGAGGGTTTTGGGGAGTGCGTTTGTAATTACCATATACTTGATTCTGTTTCTGTATGTTTTCTTTTTCGTTTACCATTACCATGCGATATTGAACGTTGCTTAGGGCTTATCGTAATTTACAAAGTGCCGCCTTGCGCGGCTTATCAAATTTAATTCAATAGTTTCCGTTTCCATTTGCTTAGCTACGATAGTTTCGGTTACAAAATAATTTCAATTTATCTAAATTGCAATCGCATCTCCAGTGTCTGCGCATCAGCTTTTAATTCTGTGAGTATAGTACTTCCACCCAATCTGCCTCTCACTATTAAATCGGTTTAGAGCTAGCTTTACAGTTACAATTACAATTAGAATTACATATACGCGATTGATTAAACTATTCCAGTTGATTTGTGTTTAGGGTGGAGTGTTTGATTCGTTCTTCTTTGCCTGCGGATAGAGCGCTTAGTCTACACAATATTTATTTTGTTAATTACGTTTAGCATATAGTTCGTAGTTCTATCTGATTTGATCAAATGATTACTCGCTTATTTGTATTTCTCGACGCATATGTATCTGTATCTGCTGAATGCTTGTATCTTGTAGGTGGGTCTGACACTGACTTGAATATAATTGAGTTTGCTCGTAGAATCTAAGCTCAAATGCAGCTGGGAAGTTGGGTGAGTTGGTTGTTTGGTTTCTTGGGGAAGATGGGATTTTCATGCGGGAGTACAGCTGAGTATCTTTGGTTGTGGTAGTTATCATCCTATCTAGCTAGCGTTTCACTCTTATTCTGGCGACTCCGAGGATGCCGATATGCCCCCCAGGCTGCAGGCCCCCACGCTGCCCGCACTCGTCGATGCCCCAATGTCGCTGATGCTCTTCACCCGCCGCCGACTCTGCTCGTAGAGCATCTGGGGGTCGGTCATCACGCCATCCAGTATTCCCCCCACCGGCGGGGCGCTCACCCGATGTCCCGGCGGCGGACCATGACTGTAGATGCCCCCGGCCGAGGGATCGGCGGTGGAGCCGTCGTCGGCGGCGGCAGGAAGTGGTGGTAGTGCTGCTGCTGCTGCTGGGGATTCGTATGCGGATTCGGGTACTGGTGGCCTATGGTTGCGTATATTCCTCCGCCACCCTCGCTGCTGCTGTACGAAGGCGTTGGGGAGGTGGAGTTCCCAAAGGAACTGCGGTCGCCGGTGCGATGGGGTTTGCTGTTAAACCGAAAGGCTTTAGAAAGGGAGCTCTGCAAGAAGAAACAACAGGGTTACAGAAGGTATTTTCCAGTTCCAGAAGAGCCAACTCACCTGAGATCCTTTCCATGCCGAAATCTGTCCAGTAAACGTAACGAAAAGAACAAAATTTTAATGGTTTTAATTTGCTCAGCTATCACTAATTGTATCTCCTAAAAATGGACTAAACGATGGAAATCTTTCGGAACTGTCGTAAAGCTAATGTTGTTGCTAGGTGCCCAAATTTAAAGTATTAACAATTATATTTTTTATCCCCTATTTCCAGTGATAAAAATATGTGATTTCTATGGTATAATGTATGAAGTGATAAGCATGCTTATGTCTTGATAATATGGGATAATTGAAAAAAAGGAGTTTATAAATTTAGCTAGCACGAAATTCGCAGTAAAATTATATTAATATATTATACAGACCTGCTAAGAACTTTTATCGTGAAAAAATTTCGTCGAATTTACTAAAAGTATTCTATAATTTTAATCCAAATCAGATGTGAAAGCATAGTTTTGGACACCTTTTAAGTCGTTTTGAACCCCAAAATATTATTTGGCACTCTTTTCTAAGCAACTTTAAAATATCCCTTAAAGTATGCTGTAAAATATTTTACATTTTCCTTCACCAACGTTTTTTATCACCATTAAGAAATAGAAATATATCATTTAATCCTTGTAGAAACCTCAGAGAGAGAAATACAGTCACAAGAGATTTCAAAAACAACCATCATAAATTGAATTTTCAATTCCGATGAAAGCCTGTGAAAGCTGGGATTCAAACACTGGGGACAGCTTTTAGTGACTTAAATAATTTATGACATAGACACCGAGAGACACCAAAAGCTTCACGACAATTCAGGCTAAGGATACAGCAATATTGTTGGCTAGCAGATTATCCTATTTAAGACTTAATTGGATATAACTAGCTATGGGATATAAGTAGTCATAATTACTTACCCTGAGGTTGCCGCTCGAGCGGCGATCTGTTGTGGCATAGTGCTGCAGTCCGCCGGGTCCCGTTAGAGGCACTACGCCGCAACCGGAACGGATGCCCTGACCCAGAGTCGCTCTACACAACAAACATGGCAATTTCGATTTGCGAATTTTTGCATAGGTCGTATGCGTGTGCGTGTGTGTTGTGAGTGGGTGGTTATGGGGGTATATAACATGTTTGTGCATGTAGTTTCGGTTTTCATAGGCAGGCAGGCAGGCAGCACATTGAAGACAGGACACAGACGGCAGATAACGGGAGTGTGGAGAGTTGGAGATTGGAGTTTGGTGAGTTGGAGAGTGCGGGCGGGCAGGCAGAGCAGCAGAGATAGCGATACAGAGACAGAGAGAGCGAGAGCAGGCAAGGCAGGCACACATACACACACAGAAAGTGGTTTCATAGGTGTTGTTGTTGTTGTTTAGTTGTTGTTTAGTTGTTGTTGTACGGAAATGTTGTGGGTATTGTTGTCATTGTGTTGGTAATCGTGTTAGACAATCAAGCAGAGTTAGCAACAACAACAAGCCGTCGATTCGATTACCAAATTACGAAATTGAAGAGGAAACATACGGATGTGAAAGCAAAAGAGAGTGGATCAAATATATAGGAAAGATGGAAAAAGAAACGGGACAAAGACGAAAGAATCTGGTTAATCAATGTTGGAGAGTTACTTTTATTTGTTTTGTATTTGGCTATGGCACAATTAACTACACGTAGCGTAAAACAACAAAGAAATCAAGAGTCTATGGTGAGAGAAAACCCCCCGAAAGAAGAGAATGAAAAGGAAAAGTATTTAAAAAAAAAGAATAGCATTGCTAACAGACACGATATCAGCAGCCATAAAAATTTGTCATTTTTCAAGCCTTAGAATTCCAATCACACATAGTATCGATAGGGTATTTTTGTATATGCAGTGGTACTTATTAAGATGACAACGGTTATCTCTAGTTCAAGCTACTTAAAAACATTGATAACACATACATGGAACTTGTTTTCGAGTGTCTGCGTATGTTATTGAGTGTGTGTGTGAGAAATAGAGAGAGATAGGCTACTTAGTAAGCAAGTTTTACTTACAATTGACACTGTAGTTGCAAAATTGCAAAACCAAATTAACGACTTCTTATAGAAATTAACTTAGGGGAGCCACCCTGCGGTCACTAGAAAGTTTCCAAAATCTCTTGATACATACAATCAATATTCTCGGGTGCCCAAAAGTATGCAACGATAAATTCAACGATAAATGTATATAGCCATTCACACTAAGCAATCCATGTCCACGAAAGTAACATTATTTATTTGCATAATTTTTGGCACCGCAACTATTGTTGAAATTTTAGGGAACAGAACTTTATACCGCAGGGCAAACTCCCTCAAAACGCTTCACAGTATGCAACACCAAAACATGGACTATATCATCTAACCACGGAAATGTAGATGTGTATGTGTTCATGGACTTGTGTGCGAGTGTGTGGCTATGTAATTGGTCTTTAAGGTTCAATTGTGCGTTGGTGGCTGTCTGACCGACCTCAGAAAACAGCTCCTGTATCACAGAGAACTTTAGTGTTCCGGCCTAGTGACGAAAGACGCTTATGTGTGGAAGGGTGTGTGGTGGCATTTGCAATGCCCTGTCTTTGGCGTAACAAATAATATCTGAAATGTCTTTCCGCCTCGATTACATTGACGTAAGCCTTAACACTAGGTTTCTACTACATTAAATGCTTGACTTGTAAATCAACCTAAGTAAATGCAACGTTAAGCGCTCCTCGGGGAGTGTATCGTTTTAATATCGATATCGGATATGCAAAGCTTGGACACCTGTTTTTTGATGTGTGCGTTCCTAGTTCGATGCCTAAAGCACTTAATTATATTGTGTTATGATTACAGCTACTTCTACTAATCGGATGTGTGACTACTCTGCCGTGGATCTATCAACTATTCGTTATTACGAAATGACTAGCGCTGTGCTCCAGTTATTGTTCTCTTCCTATAGTTATTATCGTATCATCTTCATCAGCTTGGCTAAACAAATCTCTATGAATCCCGTTTGGTTTTTGATTATTCATTTTCGTTATCTTGTTCTTTGGTTCGTGCGGATTTAGTGGCCCTGCAATTTGGCCAATTGTCTGGAGGCTTCCATTTGAAATTCTTCCATTTGACAGTAAATAAGGTATCTGCATTTCGGATGTAGAAAATACAAATAAACATGGATCGAGATATTGGTTGGGAAAGAAAAGAGAGAGAAACATGGCCACAAGGGCCGCCATTAGTGCGATTCGCTTTATGGGGCGGTTTTATTTTGCTTAACAGATCGTCTAAGACACGTTCACATGATCAACAACGAAACAAAGTACTTATTACATTATTATCTAAAGATACAGGCTGGAGACCTTTACATACTTATGCACGAGTAGACAGATTTAGATACAGATATGACGTCGCATGATATGACATCTAATGAGTCGAGAAGTTGGCATTTCTGCAGCCATAGTTGATTGGGATGCGGAAGAAGACAGATGGATGGTATGCACATAAGAAGCAGCTTATAAACGAATGATCAAAGCACTAAATATAATAGCCAGAGATGAGTATGAATGAATGATGAGTGTATGTTTCGGGTGATGATGATAATGCGGAAGATGAAATGCAGTCTGAAGAGCTCCCACAGTAACGAAATACTTCCTGCTAGCAACTTCCAAACAAAAACAACTCTATAAAAGATACGTCTTAACGAAGGTGCAAAAATAAACACAAACACACAACGAAAACAGTTAACAGGAAAGTTATATAAACTCGGGGGAGGGGATGGAAATACAAAACGGCAATAACTCAATCAAAACAAAGACAACTCTAATCAAAACGCTGTATTACGCTACATATTTATGTTTCCACATTTCACATGTCACACCCGAGGGATTACACAAAGGACTCTCACACTCACACACACACACAGGACACACACACGCACACACAGATATCTAGATGGCTTTTGTGGGGTTGCTAAGCCCTAAAAACTTACCGTGCGGGCAAAATGAGGGCATCGAATTCCGTGTTGAGATGTCGCCGTATTATGTTCTTCGAGGGCGGAATGCCCAAGGCGGTGGCCATGGTGTCCCCAGAAAAGGATGGTTCCAGCACCACAAGGCCGCCGTGCACGCCGCTATCTGCAGGTGGGCGAGAAGGGTGGAAAGGTGTGGAAACAGGCATTAGAGTGGGTCAGAGGTCCCCTAATTGCTGCACGGAATGGCATAATCAAAGGGCCATCGATATGGCACACGCACCCTTCAGGTTGTCGGCGTACTCGCCCAGGTCGATGGATCGCACCCAGCGGATGAAGCGCTGGTTCGTCCACACAATGGGGTCCGTGTCCACCGTCTCCGATTGCACCCGCCGCATGGCCAGTGTCTGGCGGTCGTACTTCACGATGCGCAACACGTGGATGCCTGGCGGAAAGGAGGGAAGTGAAACGCTTTCGATTAGGTTACTACTTTTATCAGCAGACGAGAAAAATAATTACTTTTTATGTCATTTAATAAATAAACAATTTTTTCTTAATCGAATATATTGCCATAATCAAAAAGATGATTTAAAAGGAAACAAGAAGAAGATTTTCTGCAAAATTTAATCTAAATAGCTTTAAAACTGCGTAAAACAGACGGGCGGATGGACCCACGGACATGGTTAGATTGACTTCTTAGTGACGCTGACCTAGAATATATATACTTAATAGGGTCGGAAATGAGCCCTTCACTGAGTTACAAATTTTGACTGAAATTATAATACCCTCTACAAAGGTATACAAAAACATTTGATTTGTTTTGAAAATAGAAATGGTTGCTGAGTATAAATGTTTAAAATACACAATATTTTTAAGATTCTTGAATATGTTTCCAATATTCAATAGAATTCTAATCTAGAAAATCCCTCCGGAAATTGGAAATACTTAATAGGGTCGGAAATGAGCCCTTCACTGAGTTTCAAATTTTGACTGAAATTATAATACCCTCTACAAAGGTATACAAAAACATTTGATTTGTTTTGAAAATAGAAATGGTTGCTGAGTATAAATGTTTAAAATACACAATATTTTTAAGATTCTTGAATATGTTTCCAATATTCAATAGAATTCTAATCTAGAAAATCCCTCCGGAAATTGGAAATACTTAATAGGGTCGGAAATGAGCCCTTCACTGAGTTACAAATTTTGACTGAAATTATAATACCCTCTACAAAGGTATACAAAAACATTTGATTTGTTTTGAAAATAGAAATGGTTGCTGAGTATAAATGTTTAAAATGCACAATATTTTTAAGATTCTTGAATATGTTTCTAATATTCAATAGAACTCTAATCTAGAAAATCCCTCCGGAAATTGAAAATATATACCTTTTTAGGGGTTATTATAATACTAATCGGTATACAACTTTTACAGTCTTTAATATTTTCCACACACATATCAAGACTTTAAATTCTACGAATTGACTTATATCCATATGGTTGGATTGCGTAATTTCTTAGAACTTCTTAAAGTTTATTTTGGCATTAAAGGAGTCGAAACTCAATATTTAATAGTGGCCGTAGGCACAATCTTTCGGGATAAGTTCATTGTCCAATTAGTTTATTTTAAGTCTGTGAAAGTCCGGCTAATAGAACCTGAGATATTCCAGCAAGTAATACAAAAACATTAATGGTCGCAAAAATTCCAAATAAAATGAAAGATAAAGCCCTTTAAAATCTAATTATGTCTTTGAACTCAAACCACTCCTACCGTGGACAATGCTGGCCTGGTGGAACTTCCGCGTGACGCCCAGGAACTTCTCGAGCTCCTTCTTGGAGAGCGTGTCCAACATCCGGGCGTCGACGAGGGACTGCACGAAGGGCTCCGCATACTGGGGCAGTCCGATGTCCGGCAGCCACTCGGTGGCCACCCAAGTGTGGCCCAGCTGCGTGATGAGGGGGTAGCGGACCATCTCTGGACGCCGCTGCTCCTCGATGGCCAGCCGCAGCTTCTTGCGATGCATCGGGTGGGCGAGTCCCAGTCCCGCCTCCAGCTCCACGTCGTTCAGCTCCAGCAGCACCTTGCCGCTCTTCACGTTCTCGGCGCACCTGGCGCTGTACTGGGGCATTCCCAGGGCCACCTCCAGCCAGGCCAGCACCTGAGTGGCCCGCCAGCGGTCGATGGGCAGCTGGGAGGCCTCCCGCAGCAGACGCAGCTTCTCGGCATAGCCCTCCTCCGTCAGCGGATTCCACGAGTAGTCGGCATCTGCAAAGGGATAAATGTAGCATCATTGGGCATATGGATTTTGTAATCTTAATTATAGACTACATTATTTATTTTTATTCAAGTTTAATCCTGTTTAAGAACTGGGAATGGATTGACATTTAAACGAATAAGAAGATGGAACACAAAAGGTACGAGTTTTAGTCTTAATGGCAAGCTAAACGTGGTAGCTTAAACAATACTTTTAAAAATGTGAATGTAATTTGTATGCTATTTTCTTCCAACTTGTGTACTTTTCATATACTTTGTGGATATGTGTAAATAGAGGTTTTTTGTTTTCCAATACGTAAAATTTAAACCCCAAAATTAGTTAATTTTCTGAAACCAAAACCTCATTTTAGATTAATACGAATACAAGTTTATTAATTTAAAAATAATTTTGAGATGGCTAATTTGAGCTATGTCTATGTCTCGGATATATACATATATTTAGAATATGACTCCTCATATTTAAGTGGATAAGGACTTATTAGTATTTATGTTATAAAATATTTATAAAATACAATTATTTAAGCTTCAGCACTCACATTCAGTGACTCCATCGGCGGATAGAGCCTTGCTTTTATTCCGGGAGCGGGCAAACACCCGGGATATGCTTCCCCAAGTCCCGCCACGTCCATTGCGAGCTCCAAGTGGTCCACTTTTGTTGGCGCTGGCGAACTTCCTGCTGATGGCTCCACCACCTGGTCCTTCGGGATCCACAGGTGAGCCCAACTGCTCCACAGACCTGGTGGTATGGGAACAAATTTTCGTTTTAATTGGCTATATTTCCATTGTAAGCTGATCCCTAATCCATAAAATTGTTAGATAATTAATTATCCCAAAAATATTTGTACCCTTTTTTGCACTTATAGAAAATCCCAGAATGCAAATAAAAGTCTGTGCAAAAATTATACCCAACGTGTCATGTAATTTAAGCTGCCATTAATCATTTAATTTAGTTCCAGTAATTGCTGTCTAAATGTAATTAATTACAGCCATTCAAAGGTGGAGATTAAATTAAACAACGTGTGTAAAAAATATTTTGGCTTAACAAAATGATTTGTAATGCAAATATAAACAAAAGTTTTAAACAGGTAAAATTTGCTTTGGCTGGTTAAACAGTAAACATTAAATTATGGCTACACGAAGACCAGAGTGTAAATCAATAATTTAATGGACAATTATAGGGCTTATGGTTTTAGAAAAAGTAGTGTTGAGATAAAGTGTATTTCTTTAAAGACATAGTATCTTACATTTCAAAGTTTGTAGTGTAAATTAACCGGAACTTTGTGTTATAAATATTATGAAAGTTGAAAGGTTTGCGAGACACTAGTATTTTAATTTCATTTCAGAGCTATTGAGTGAAATTTGTAGGAACATATATGTTTAAATATACATATATTTATCTTTAATAATACCTTGAGTAGGCAGCCGAGTTGAGAGGAGACAATGTGGGGCTGCGTTCCTTGGGTGTGCCAACTGAAATAGAAATTCGGTTAGAGTGGATTTGGCTAGGTAGCAAGTATATCACTCACATTGATACATGTTCTGGCTGGACACCAGTGAGATACTATCTGGATCGACCGTGATGCAGGGTCCGTTGTCGCAGGTGCCATCGCTGAAGTTCAGTTCTCCGCCGGTGCTCTCCCGATCGCTGCTGTTCCTCAGGCCCGAGTCATTCGAGCAGGAGTTGCGATCCCCCGCCGTGGCTCCCGATCCCCCGCTCAAGCTGCCACTGAAGGCGGACAGCGAGTTGCCACGCCCACTGTCCTCGGTGGTGCCCCGAATCCCTGCCAATCCACCGCCCATTCCCGAGGCGGCGGCCATCTGACTGAGCATTCCCGAGGCGGCCGACGGAGGGGTCAGCGGGGCAAAGGAGTGGAGGCTCTCCTGGTCGGACAGGCATCCGGTCAACTGGCGGCGGGTCTCCTGCAGCTGCTCCTGCAGCCTCTGGAGCTGCAGATCCCGGGCGGAGAGCTGCTGGGCCAGAGCCAGTGAACGCTCCGCCTCATCGCGGGCCTGCTTGAGCAGCTGGAAACGCTCCCGATCCCGATCCCCGGAGATCTTGGCATTCGTTGTCTCGGTTTCCCGAACCCGGTCCTGGTAGTTCCGTATGAAGTCGCGCAGCTCCTGCTCCTTCTCCTGCAGCGAGGCGCACAACTGTTTCACCTGGCCCAGAAGATCGGACTTATCCGTCCGCAGTTTCTTCCTTTCCAGCCGCATGGTGAGCAGCTGGTTCTTCACCGATCTGAGTTCGGATTCCAGCCGCTCGATTCGCTCCTTGGCAGCTGATCCTTCGGCGGACGAGACCGCCTCCAGTTCCGCCGTGGTGTCCACTCCACCCACTGCTCCGTCTGTGGAGAGCTCGAGGAGTCGCCTCAGGCGAAGCAGTTCGGCGTTGAGGCGATCGTTCTCCTCGCGCAGCTTCATGGCAGCTTCTGCAAAAGGAGGGATTATCAATCGGGCAAAGTGGGTAAACCCTTGGTCAAGAGTTCTCAGCTACAGCTACCAAGCTGCGAACAAGCGGTGATCGGAGCAGGAATGCAAGCCAGGAATACAGCTTAGATTTTTTTACATTCCCGAAATTGCAATAACTCTTTTGCCTAAACATTTACATTTTATTTTCCTTTTAATATATATACGGCAAATTTATTGGTTTTTAAACATTTGTAAACATTTCTTAGTTAACATTAAGTGTTTAAATAATTTGTTTATTTTTTACCTTCTAAAGGTAAATTTGTGTTTAGTAAATTATTCATATTTACGAGATGCAAATACCTCTCTAAATATGAAGTCTATTAAAGTCTATTACAAATTTGAGACAGGAGTTTACGATAAAGAGTTAAACATTTCATTTAATGTTGTATTTGTGATTTAAGTTTATGAAATATTCAATTCAATGATATTTCTTAATCAAAGCAAATTTTTGAAAGACAAGGACTGCTTTGTTCAAATAACCAAAATGCATAAGATAATTCTTCTTGAATGAATTGTGAATTTTAAGTGCGTTAGAAGGTAGTCAGGACAATTGCAGAATCTATAGAATTATATTCCACAAACCAAACTTAAATAACCTTTTGCATTGTAAAGTTTCAAGTCTTTTCCGATTTCTTAACCAACTCCTGACTTGCAATCCTGTCCATCGATATTCTACTCATAATTAGCATTAATGTCGACCTCTAGCCACCCACTACCATTTCCGATTCCCGAGCATTTTTTACACATTTCCCCGGCAAGTTTCTTTTGCGAAGAAATAAAAAGGAACTGAAGGAACGAGAACTAGGCAATCCCCAAGTAGCACACCAGCTGGGGCCAGAGTACTGGCATTTAATATGCAAAATGAGAACTGAAAACACATTCAAAGTTTTGCAGGCGAACCAAATCCAGTGCAATTATAACTTAACCAGGCCAGAGCAATGAATCGGCAGGCACTAAGCGGATGAATGGGGATCAAGTGCAACTACTTTATGGGTGGGTGCGGAAAATCGGGGTTTGCGGGGGGAGGGTGGGATGCGGGTTAATTGTGATTGCTGCTGCTTCAATTAAAAATACAGAGCGGAAATTGAGATGAAAGCGAAAAGAGGAGGGAAAATAGATTGATCGACTTACCTGAGCGGGGAGCGGAATGCAGGTGGAACCTTGACTCGTCGTTGCGATTTCCATCGCAGGACTCCAACAGGAGCAAGGCCGCCGAGGCGGCGGAGGTGGGGGAGTGCGGGGGTCCCAGGGCCACCGATGAGTTCGGATTCAGATTCAGATTGAGATTCTCATTCACATTCACATTCGAGGGCGGGTCCTGATCCGGTTCCGATAGGTTGGCATTTCGCTTGTCGACTAGATTTCGGCGTTGTTCAGATACAGATACATGTAGATGTAGATGGTTTACGGGGTGTTTTTGGGGGGATGTTTCCGGGAGGTTGGGGGGTAGGCAAACATATTCGGGTTGACCCAATAAGTAGTGGTTCCAAAACAAAAACAAATAAACAGCAATGGCAAACAACGACCACAACAGCAATAGCAATAGTATAAGAACAATGCCAACAAACGATGATAATGGTAATGGGGCTGGTGGGTATGCGTGAGTGGTTCGATGTTTCGGACTGACTGATATATGCGACCATATAATCCGACCAGGTGGGAGAGGGTGGGAGAGGTAGAGGGGAATGGGAAGGCGTGCAGGACTCGAAATTAGATTTCCTCTTATCGAAAAAGGACAAATAGGATTGAAAAGTAAATAAACAACAATTATTGCAGTCGAACATGGAAATGAATTAATATCGATTTTCGGAAAATTAATCTAAATGCAAACGAGTCAACGAGTAATGGCAAAAACAATGAATTCATAGAAATGCATTTACGAGATGAACAATTTGATTATTTATTTCCCAGAACATCAATTCCCAAGCCCAGGTCACCGATTCAACCATGTGAATGACTGATGATGAGCCTAAATTGATTGCGCAATCACACACATCTTTTTTTCAGCTTTTCTGCTTATTGATTGTCAACATGGATTTATTTTATGGCCGAGGATTTAAATTAAAATTTAATTAGCATTTAATGCGACGCATGAAACCATTACTAAGGGTAAAGCAAAAAAATAATTTGAATTGAGGTCAAAACGAACTGGTTGGTCAGGATTGTTTATCAAATAAATATAAACAAATTGAAGAGTTTGCTTTTATTTAACTGCTAAAATTGAAGAGCCATTTCGCTCTCTGTTTAATTTTCAACGTTTAAGTTTTCCGACCCAACTCGACCACAACCACTTGGATTTCACCGACTTTTTCACCTTCCCTAAATCGACCCCGCCTATCTGCTTCGTTGGCTTTCCAACTGCAGCACTTAAAGTGATGGGTGAGAGGAGGAGGAGGAGGAGGAGGTCCTGGACCGGGGAGATAGTTAAGAGGAGCGGACGGAGGCCATTACCATCCATTTGTCAGATTTTTGAAGTGTGCATCACTCTGCCATTCTGATATAATCCGATGCGTTGGCCCACCCAAACAGTAGACCCACCAGCAAAAAGGCACTCTACTCGCATCGCATCCCTGCAAAAACCTAAGCCATCACCTCATCCTTAACCTGCGTGTTTTCAGTTGTTTTGCCCAGTTTAAGCTTGTGGTTGTATCTTCAGTTTGCCCCGGGCAACTTGCAATCTCTGACCACCAAACAACCTTTAACTTGCCGCCTTTAATATATTTTCACCCCTTTATGTGCGGTTAAATACTTGAACAATTAAAGAAATAAAACAACAGGAATGTCGCTCAATACTTTACGCAGTTGGGAGATGGAATTAAATCAGCATAAAGGTTGAAAGGATTCAATCAGGGACGCTGATTTAATTCCTCTCTGGTCGGTGCCCATTTGCCATTCCCACTGTGGCCAGCATTTGTTCATTCATGCTGCAAAGACCCTGCCCCTGCACCCTGCACCCTGCCCCCTACCCCCCTCTCCTCATGCAACTCCTTTCTTTGCCCGCAGCAATCTGCTGATTGCTCCTCTCCCCCCTCCCCCATGGCGTTTACACATTACTAATGCATTTACATACACTGCGGGAAAAACAGTATATCAAATATAGCACTTACTTTAAATAATTAACTAAATTAAATGTAAAATAAGTGATTAGAAATTAATTAACTGAATAAATGTAAACTAAGTGAGTAGTTTTCAATATTATTTGAGCAACAATTTAAAGAATAACAATTTAACATTTTAAAATGTAAAAACTTGTAAAAATATTCAAACTTAAAAACAAGTTTTTGAAAAAATCCATCATAAATCACTATTATTTGATGATTATTTGATACTAACGAAAAAGATAAAATACAGGTGTTAGCCTAAGCAAGTTGCGTTCTCTATCAAGTTTAAAAATTATTTTGGGCTTTATTATTAAAATTAAAACAGTGTTCATTTCAAAGGAAGAGAAAGGGTTCATAATAATAACATTTCGTACACTTCTTGCAAGCGTATTTTAATGAAAATTCTCGGGGAAAGAATGTTCAGGATTGAATTGAGAAATATTCCCCTTTTAATAAGATAAGGCATTCTGAATAATAATTCCCAAGGAAATACCCGGCATTTCGAATGGCTTTTTTTGTAATAAATCTTCTTTTTCCCCCCGTGTACACCTTCCTCCTCGCAGAGAGATTCCCCCCGCAATGAGATTCCCCCGCACACTTACCAGCATTGAGGGCACTGCCGCCGGAGGGGGCGTTGTGGGCGGGGCCAGTTGCCTGGGCCAAGTGACCTGCGGCAATTAAATTCGAGTTATTCGCATGGATCATGGCTGTGCCGGAGTTGCAAGTGCTGCTGCTGCTGTTGTTGCTGTTGCTGTTGCTGTTGCAGTGGCTGTTGCTGTTGCTGCTGCCGATGCAGATGCCATTCGGCAATTGCTGTTGCTGCTGCTGCAGGGCCACAGGCACACCTGCCAATTCCACCTTGCCAGGATACGCAGGACTCCTGTGCTGGTGGTGCTGTAACTGCGGCTGAAGCGGCTGATTATCAGCGGTCATGGGTGGGGTGAGCGTCTGGTTGCTGCCATTCGAACTGGACGGCGATGAGCTGCTGTCGTTGCTGGGCGTGAGGTCTCGTTTGGAGGCCAAGACCAAGGGCGACGGCGATGGCTTCGCAGGCGCTCCTCCTCCGCCCCCGGATCCTGTGGCTCCTGCTGCCCCCGAGGATGTCGAGGCCGTCGCCGAGCTGTCCAGCGATAGCAGCGGCCTTATGGGCTTGTTGTTGTTCACGGAAGCGGCTTTCTCCTTCAGCGCTGTCGTCACCGAACTGTCCAGCGATTTAACGATTTTCTGCAAAATCACAAATGAATGGAAAGGGTTTTTAAATCACTCAAATTATAGGCAGCAAGTCTAGCAGCTAATAGAGAAAAGTTAAGCTAAGAGAAGAGGGATATACTGTATGCTGATGCAAAGCCCACTTTTGCAAAATCATTTCAAGCCTATAAGCAAAATTGTTAAAGACAATTTAGAAATTAATACTCAAAAGCAATTTAACCCGATTAATATAAATTTGTAGATCTCTTAGAGAACAAAACTTAATTGAACAATTTAACATTTAATTGGAGCTATGAGAAATTAATACTCAAAAGCAATTTAATCCGATTTATATACATTTTTAGACCTTTCATCTCACATTTAACATTTAATTAGAGCTATGTTTAGTAAACAGAAGTAATCATGTTTATTTTACTATTTAATTTTGAGCTCATTTTTAAATAGGTAAATAAACAGACACTAATAGCATTGAATTTGAACCAGGCATTATAACTAATCAAATTTAAAATTTTCATTTCCATGTATTTTCCATTGCAAAATACTATGATGAAGTCATTTTAAAAAGGGAATTAGTTTGAAATCGTTTAGCGAATTTATCCGATATTATAGTTATTATTATTATTATGAACTCGATTTTGCAAAATTAGGAAATCGAGATGCATAAACACCAAATGCCTAGCAATAGCAGGAGTCAAACAGCAAAGGGGAAAATAGCAAAAGAGAGATACATATGTGGAGCCCAAAAATGTCAATTAGTCAATGAGAAGGATGCAGAATGGGTAATTTTTGCGAGATTTCAGTTTGTTTTTGTTCAAGAGCAGGAGAGCAAGATGAAGTGGTGCGCCAAAAAAGAGGAGATTGGAGTGTGAGGGGCATGCAGCAGTCTATTACCAAGCAATGATTGAGGCCCAATTGGGTTAGACATCGAGTGAATTTCGTTTTTGGTGGTGCGGATGGAAAGGGGGGAGGGGGTGGAGGAGCTTCGAAAGAGTATCTGGGATGGCGGGGTGCTTACGGATGGTACTTACGGATTCGCCCAGCTTGTGCAGCGAGGCGTTTATGCGGTCCGGATTGCGCGGCGGCGGCTCTGGTGGCTCGGAGGCTGCCATCGTGGGTCCGGCAGCTTGACCGTTGATTTGCATGCTAACCACCACCGACGCGGGCACCACTCACGCACACACTCGCCGACGCACCACTCTGGCTCGCACACACTCACCCACCGGAAAACGGGGCCTGCGAGTGGGCGGGAAGGACGTTCTCGTGCTCTCTTCTGGGCGCCTCAACTGCCACCACTCTGAACTAATCGACGCTCAAACATTCTGACTTAGCACTACACTGAGAAAACAAAATTAAACAATATCAGTTCTATGCCTTCGAGTTTTAATAATTTTACAGTAAAACAAATAAAACTGTGTAAGCTTTCTGAAAGCGTCTTTCAACCAGAATTTAACTGAAAAACTCAACTTTTTAATTTACATCTTAACTGATGGCTTTAAATATGAGTAGTATCTATGAGTAGTCTATAATAAAAAACACAAAACCTCTTATAATTTAAACACCTACAAAAATTGTTGCTAGCTATCTGAATACCACCCAAAACTTTCTGTGCATTTTCGGAATAAGACTAAAAATTTTCCAGGACAAAATATAAATGGAGGGTTTTAGTTTTGATAAATTGTGGGTAATATTGCAACTATTTCTTTCCTTAGAAAATAATTGTTCCAAGGTACCTAGGATCATGGTCCCTAAAGTGACTAACTTCACTGGTTTTTGCAGAGAATTAGATGCTCTGATAGGAGACTCTTATTCTGTCAAGCCACTAAATTCGGGAGACATTGCCGTCCAATGCAAGTCCTCTGATGCCTACAGGTCGGTGGCTAGGCACTTCCTTGATAAAGGAACCCTTTTCCACCATCATCAGTTGCCTGAAGACCGACCTTTTCGCATTGTTATGCGCAACATCCATCACGGAGTCCCCTCAGAGGAAATCATCAATTGCCTCCAAAACGAAGGTCACTCAGTTATTCGTATATACACTCCTCGCAATAAGAATACCTCAAGCCCGCTCAATATGAGATTTATTGATCTCAAAAAGGCGGACAGCAACAAGCTCATCAAAAATATTCTTGTTGTTTGTAAGAACAACGTAAATTGGGAAAAGCCTCGTAAGCAAACTGGACCCGTGCAATGTCAGAGATGCCAGGGGTATGGGCACACCAAGGCATACTGCACAAGACACTACGTTTGCAGAGAGTGTGGAGACAGCCATCCAACCTTTGAGTGTAAACTTGGTAAGGACGATGCTAGGTGTTGCGCTCATTGCAACATGCCCCACGCGGCCAACTTTAAAGGATGCAAGAAGTACCTTCAAGTAGCATTCAACATGAGGCCTCAGCCGAGGGCCAAAGATCCCTTTGTACCTGGCTCTAGCAACACACCCCACCCTAAATCACTTCCTTACAACAATGGCAAGCAATCATACGCGAGCGTAGCCAGGAACAGCTTACCAGTCGATCAGATCGAAGAGCCCCACAAAAAGGAAGCGAACCCTTCTCCCACCTCCGCCGCCAGCTCAAGTGGTACTTTGGAAGCCAAGTTGGAGCTTCTCTTCTCAAGGCTGGACAGAATGATGTCCCTTGTCGAGACCCTCTTGCAGGCGCTTCTACAGACGCGCACCTCCTCCTCTGCTATTCACAATGGGTGTCCTTAAGATAGCTACCTGGAACGCGAACGGGGCCTCCTCCAAAGTCAACGAGATACTGGCTTTTATTGAACTACACGAATTAGACATGCTCTTGCTATCTGAATCACATTTCTCCTCTCGGTCTACCTTGAGAATACCTGGATTCACCCTACACAATGCCAACCACCCAGATGACAGTATGCATGGAGGCGCTGCGATCTTAATAAAATCCTCCATATCCCATCAGCCTTTCTCTACACTATGCGAAGACAACATCCAGGCAGTCACCATTCAGCTGTCCGCAAGCAGAGGCTCCTTCAATGTGGCCTCTATTTACTGCCATCCAGCCTATAGATGGACCGAGGCCGACTTATCGTCGTTATTTCCACATTTTGGAGCGAAGTTCCTAGCAGCAGGCGACTGGAACGCCAAACACAGACTGTGGGGCAACTACAGAATGTGCGCTAGAGGCAGGGTCCTGTGCAATGCTATGACTGATGAGGGTATTGATATTGTAGCTTCTGGAGAAGCCACTCACTACCCCTATCGTGCTAATGCCACCCCAAGCGCTATCGACTTTGGTATCTCCAAAGGCTTTAGACCGCAACAAATTTCAGTACAAGTACTTACTGAACTGTCGTCTGACCATTTACCTCTGCTCTTTGAGCTAAATGAAGACGCTCAATTCTTCAAAGGCGTTTCGAAATTATTGCCTCCACATGCTAACATAGAGGCTTTTAAAGCTCATATAGATGCCTCTATTGATCTCAACGTCCCCATTACCAATTGTAATGAGCTTGAGGATTACACAGTGTCTTTTACTTCCCTCATCACTGAAGCTGCGCGGCAGGCTACCCCAGCCCCACTTCAAGCTAGTACCAGGACGGTAAGGAGGACGACAATTTTGAACCCGGAGGCAACCACTCTACTCAACCAGAAGCGCAATCTTAGAAGGCAGTACATTGCGTCAGGTGATCCAGCCGTGAAACAAATGCTATCAAGCGTCACTAATAGACTGCACCGGCTGTTAGCCAAAAATCGGCAGAAAAACTTTGACACCCTGCTGGAAGGAGCTGGCCCAGACAATAACAGTGATTTCTCGATTTGGAAGCTCACTAGAGGTATGAAGAGACAACCGTTATTCCAGTCACCCATCCGGAGTCACAGTGGCCACTGGCTCAAAACGGATTATGACAAAGCGAACGCATTTGCTGCGCACCTCTCCTCTACCTTTACCCCCTTCGAGCTAACAGCCGATCATCATCGCGCTGAAGTTGCTACCTTCTTGGGCTCTCCTGTTCAATCGGCTCGCCCCATAAGACACACTACGCCACAGGAAATCATGTTGCAACTGAGGGCCCTACAACAGAAAAAGACCCCGGGACATGACTGCATCGATAATAGAGCGGCGAAATCTTTACCACGCAAAGGAGTCCTTGGCCTAGTAAAAATTTTTAACGCCATGCTTAGCTTAGGGTACTTTCCTAAGCTGTGGAAGCGGGCACGGATTGTCATGATCCCCAAAGCTGGAAAGCCCCCCATGCATATTGATTCCTATCGCCCAATCAGCCTGCTGGCTACCTTTTCCAAGATTTTTGAGCGCATCCTCCTTAGCCGACTGATGGATCTACCGCAGGTAGTAAATCACATACCGGCGCACCAATTTGGTTTCAGGAAATCCCACGGCTGCCCCGAACAGGTGCATCGTCTGGTCAACCAGATCACACACGGCTTCGAGCACAAGCTGTACACCATCGGCGTTTTCCTAGATGTCAAACAAGCATTCGACAAAGTATGGCATGAGGGCCTATTATATAAAATAAAAAATCTTCTCCCTGCGCCTTTCTTTGCCATCCTGAAATCCTTCATAACTGATCGGACCTTTGATGTGGCAATAAGAGACTCCCATTCCAGCGTGTGTGAGATCAATGCTGGGGTTCCACAGGGAAGTGTACTTGGACCCTTTCTGTACACGCTGTACACTGCTGACATGCCGACCCCCGGCAGCAACAATGATGACGACTCCGCTGCCAAGCTGCTCCTGGCCACTTATGCTGACGACACCTGCACGCTAGCCTCCCACTCATCGCTGCAAACTGCAACAAATGCAGTTCAGGTCTGGCTCCATGCTATGGAGAACTGGTCTGCGAAATGGAACATCGCTATTAACTGCGCCAAATCCGCCCACATGACCTTCGCCCGCCGGCACGGTACTTCGGTTGGTCTCACCTTCAATGGAGATGCCATCACCAGTGTCACCTCCCATTGCTACCTAGGAGTACATTTGGACAGAGCGCTAGTATGGCGGGCCCACATCTCGGCAATCAAAGCCAAATGCTTGCAGAAGCTACAAAAGCTTGACTGGCTCCTGCGATCGAAAAAATTGCACTTTTCAAATAAGGCCCTGCTAATTAAAGCCATCATCACGCCAACTTGGACGTACGCCATTCAAGCATGGGGCACTGCCTCTAAGCATCAGCTTGAGAGGCTTAGAGTCGTGCAATCACGTGCAGCTCGGCGAGCATCCGGGCTCCCCTGGTACGTCACAAACAGTGCCATCGAGAGGGACTTTCGACTACTACCTATCGGGGACCAAATTAATATACACAGCAGTCGTTACGCTGACAGGATTGTGGCACATCCAAACCCCCTAGCGAGTGACCTAGCTGAGCCAATTTCTCTGCGACGGCTGAAGAAGCTACATCCCACCGATCTCCCTACTCGTAAGATCGTATAAAATTCTCACTTATTTTGTTACTTCGAAACTTGTTATAATTGTTACTTAGTATTTAAGGCTACTATGTATGCATAAAATTTCTTTCTCGTTAATTACGCTAGGTTAAGTTCAGAAGGCACTGAACAGATTCCAGTGAATAAAATATTATTTAAAAAAAAAAAAAAAAAAAAAAAAAAAAAAAAAGAAAATAATTGGCTAACCTTGGCGATATTTTTTCTCTGAGCTAAGCTGTAGAACCGTAGGTATCGAGTAAATACGTACGCTAAGATGGATGTCCCTGTCGCTCTTGCGCGCTTCAATCTCCCATTCAATTACGAGTTGTCCTGTAAGTAAACAAAAATGGGAAATTTTCAGTCAGCGCGTTTTGGATATGCAACGATTTTTTTGCAGCAGCTCAACTAATTTGGTTCTCCCCACAAAATGGCCATAAAAACTGAGAGCTTTGGGCCAGGAATTCCCGACAGGCTTAGTTGTTTGCATGTAGGCCAACGCCAGCCATAAACCTCCATTTGGACTTGTTCTTTTTGTTTTTGTGTCCGTTGCATGTCAACGCTCAGTTCGCAGTTTGCAGTTTACAGTTCTGTCGCTGCAGTTGTCACTGCTGCAGCTGTTCCTAAGGTAAAAGTTAAATTTCAGCTAGCAACTCAGGGCGGATTCTCCATGGGGCGGAGTGACAGCTGTTAACTGGGCATGAACCATGTGACTCCGGGCGGAAAACTACCCCACGAGGTACTCGTAACTTTAACTGGTTGGAAACCAAAGGTGACATGACATGCACTTTTCCGTTTGACCAACAAATAACTCATTACAGGCATGGAGAAACTTTCGAAATCATAACGAACGTATTTGCGTACAGAGAGAAAATAATATTCGTACTAGAAACGAGGGAGTAAAAGAAATATATTGAGGTTTGAAACCAATTAGAAATGCGCCGAAAAGTATGCCATAAAATATTTTCATGAAAAAAATGTCTTTATGCGTAAATGATTATCACTCAAAAAAACAACTAGTTTAAGGGATTAAACTATTAAAATATTTTTGTAAAATGTGGTTGAAATCTATTAAAATAATTTATTTTTTGGTGCCTATGCAAATTTTTTTGGTCCATACAAATCGGCAGCTTTTCACAGCTTTTTGCCAGATATAAGTTTTTAAATCTACCTCTCTTGTAATTAAAAATCACATTCGCACGTGTTCTTAAGCTCTACTAGTATTACCAACCTATTTCATATGCTTACCAAAAATTTGCCCCTACAATTGGCCGCCTGACACCCCATGTCCCGACCCACTCCACCCAAATACTTTAAGTTTAATCCGCTTTAAGACCAACTACAACAAAGGATGACCAGCAAAATACGTTGCGGTCATGTTTTGGCTTCATGTTTTTTTAGCAATCTCCCCAAAAACCCATGATCCGAATGGATGCTTGGGGTCGGGCGATAGAGCACCTATGCACATATGTTTACCTATACGCCGGGATTATTCCAGCAGAAGCGACCGAACCCTCACTTAAAGCCGACTCCAAAGCACCTTGACGACGAAACCACAAACATTTATACTAAAGCAGCAAAGCCAGCGGGTCAAAGGGGGGCGGCTAGGGGGCGTGGCAGCCACACTAATGTGGTGTGGGCCACACTAGTAGCACAAACTTTAATCATAATAATAACAAGCAACTTTTGCGTTACATCCGTGCCACGAACACAGATGAAGTTCGGTGAAGTTGCGCTGTTGCTGGCGGACTGAATGGGTATTTATGTTGCACACAGACAGGCCGCAGATAGATGGTGTCCTCTTAACCCCAGTCAGCCCCCCGGGGGTCCAGGGGGAACACTAAATATACTGCTAACATGCTTTTTAAATTGTCTGCTTTTATATTTTTGCACTTTTTGGATGAGAATCTACTGCTGCCAGCTTTTATGATTTTGTAATTTTGCTGCAGGTTTATTACGAAAGTGAGGTAATTAAAATTTCCATGTTTTTCCTACTCAATACCTTTGAACATAAAGGGTCTAGGCTAAAGAAAACAATTTAAAGTTGTTTTTGACTGAATAATACAAAGGAATTTAGAATAATTTAATTGAATATCTAGTTTTTCTGTCTAGAACAGGAAATAAAGGAAAAAAGCCTTGGCTTTTAAATATTTACTGAAATTCCAATGGTCTTTGCCTTTACCTAAGCCTAAAAAAGGCTAAATAAATCTATAGATATCTGAGTTAGCTTTTAAATCAGTGTACATTTTACTTTTGGTCCCTCAATTTTTAAGCCACATCCAAAAATTTATAGAAAGACTTTTCTAAATTATGAGCACTCGCGATTATTTGCGTGGGTCCAGACCCTCGGCCTTCTACGTGCACTTCGAGGATCCTGTGCGGGAGGATCTGCCCAGCGGTCTGCACCGCAAGCCCCGCCCTTCCGCGCCACGCCCCCAGGGGCAGCGGATGGAGGCGGCGGCGGAGCGTCGCAGCTGGCTGGGTGAGCAAAAGGTGGAGCAGCTGTCCGTCCGTTTGGCGCGAGTGGCGCTGATCACCGACCGCCACCACCGACGGTCCACGCAGAGTTGGCTGGATGCCCGGGATCGCATCACTCGCGACATGGACGAGCATGTGCGGAAGAGGACGGCCCTGATCTCGAAGCGTCTGAGGAACCTCTCCCACCACAACCAGGAGGTTCGGGCTCGCCGGGATGAGGCCAAGCAGGACAAGCTCCTCCGCAAGCTGACCCATCTCTACGAGGCCAAGAATGCGAGCACAATTTCCCAGTTTTGGGGCAAGCAGAAATAACTTACTAACAAATTGGTGATCCTATCACTGTGGCAAAAACAAAAAAAAATTAAATCGGAACAAATTGGGCTCCTTAAAAAGTTATTTTTATTCAAAGTTTGAATTCTTGAAAAGCTCTAAGGAATGTTTAGTACTTTTTAAAACGTTGGCCTAAATTCAGAATTAAAAAAAAACATAAACAGATATTATTTTAATGGTATTGCGTTAAATAAAGTTCTTTAAAAGTAGTAAAGAACATTTGCTTAAATTTTGTTACCCCAAGGTGCAACGTTATTAAAGATTACAAGGGAATCGAAAACAAAAGTACATATATATTATAACATATTTAGAATATAACAACAAAAAACAGTTTTTAATTAATGTAAGAACTACTGACTAATGTAAATTTATAATATCTTAAACAAACTATATTTCCTTGTGAATGAAAGGCACCATTTTCTGTTTAGAAACTTTTGCCTGGCACCTAAAAAGTCCATACAAATCAGAATATATTTCTCTAGCACTCCGGAATATAACAACAAAAACAGTTTTTAAATAATGTAAGAACTCTCGACTATTATTAATTTATAATTTCTTCAACATCAACTATAGTTCTTTGTGTATGAAAGACACCATTTTCCGCTTAGAAACTTTTGCCTGCCACATTGCTTGTCAAACTTCCACTTTTCGCTCAAGTCTGCCTTCGACATAGTTGCAGAAAATCGCTTGTCAACTTCCGAACAAGCCCGTGCTGCGTTTTTATAACTTAACTTTTGGGGCTTTAAGTTGGCCAGGTTGTCCGGCAATTTGCATTGGAATGAAAGCAGAAAGTTGAGTACCTAAAATTAGTTACAATTTGTGTCGTCGCAGCACAAATTAGCCGTCGCCCGAGAGACTTGCCAAGTGGAAAGTGGGTGGCGAATTGAAAGCATTTTCGCAGAGTTTCCTGGATTCCCGGCATCCAACCTCAAAGCCAGATTATGTGCACTCAACTGCAAGGGGAAGGGGAGAGGGGGAGGGGGGAGTGTGTGTTCGTACTATGTAACAAACATATCACGAGTCAAAGGAGCGTGTTGGTCCTGGCCAACTAAGTGCTTCCCTTTGTCCAGGAGCATCTTGCTCCCAGTTAGCAGCTCCCAGCTGGAAGTTCAGTTGGAGCACTTGACCCGTTTTCGCCCAACTTATTTGATTTGTGGCCTGCTGGTGACGCTGCTTATGCAATTGCCTTCGCATTCAATTAAACTCTAGGGCTTTCGGCGTGTGTATCTCTGTGTGTAGTCGAGTTGCGGAGTGGGCGGGCTATTGCCCCGAGAAGTATGCTTCATAAATTGGTTTTTATGAGAGTCCCATGTGTACGTTTGCGGTCTACGCTCTCGAAATAGCTGGCAAAATATTTGGAATTTATTACTAATTCTCTTGATACAATAAAAAGTATTTATCAATTTTTCATTCGATACTCGTGAGCTCAGACGACCGGGCTTTAATTAAAATAAATCAAAGACTTGAGTTGGAAAATAAATAAGTGCATTTGGCAAACAACTGGCAAACTGATTGAGAATCGGCCTACGAAATGCATGCAAATTAATGCAGTATTTGTGCTGAGCAATATAATTTGATTACACTAACCACAGCCAACCGATTCCCGTCCCTAAATATTCAATATTGTCGACGTCTGCCCCGAGGTTGTGTGGCCTCACTCAATGACAATTGACATTGGCACTGACAGTGGCAACCGGGGGAAATTCAATGAAAATTAATAAGTTGAATTAACAGATTCGCGCCGCGGGCAGCCATTGAAATCCAATCCGCCGCACACGCCAAGTGGGAATTTAATGGCTCACTGCCCAGTCAAATGAGTGGCAGGTCATCCTGTCCCTCCTGACATCGGTCATTAAGGTCCTGGCTCCTGCTTCTGCCAACATTCAATTGGATTACCTGCAAGCGGACAAATAATTTCCGAGAGACTAGCTCCATTGGCCTTTGCACATCCAACTGTGTGACTCATAACCCGATGACTAACCAACTTTGCTTTCATATAGCAAGAAAGGTAACAATCAATACATGTAGCAAAACATTTATGAGAGGAAGATTTCATAAAGGTTTTTTACAAAATCATTAAATGATCTAACCCATAAAACCAAGATTTAACCAAACATTTATGAGCCCAAGATTTCATAAAGGTTTTTTACAAAATCATTAAATGATCTAACTCATAAAACCAAGATTTAACCAAACATTTATGAGCCCAAGATTTCATAAATGTTAAACTTAATGTTTAAATATATATATTAATAATCATCATCATAATCAACCCATAAAACCAAGATTGCATTATTAGGTAAACGAATAATATATTTTTGTATTTATTTTACAAAAAGAATTTTATTAGATTTCTTAAAATATATATCGTATTTGTAGGTAATGTTTAGTTAAAATCTAATAAGTCGAATTTCACAAATACAAATAATAATAATGCAAAACTAGAGATATTTTAGTTTATTAATTTTTCATTGGCTAGAGTTGGCATTACAACTTAATAAGTAGTAGAACAAAAACGGTTCAGTGTCTAGAACAATCACTTTTTTCTCGGCTTCAACCCGTATTGCACTTGCTTTTAGCCCTAATTTCCTGGATGGCTCGATGGGTTCGCCTCCCTATTTGAGCCAGAAAACTTCGTTTTAGCTAGTGGAATGTGTGTAAGCAACGCAAATTACAAATTGTGCAAGGGCTTTCCTCCAGAAAAGGGGCAGCCACATAAACTATCTCCGCCCCTGTTGTTTGCCAACCGCTTTCCCTGCATTCTGCAATCGCCCGCCATTTCCTCTCTTTCAGACACAAACTGACAGCAATCAGCTTTGCTGTGGATAAAGTTTTATGCCGAGAAACTCATTTAGTTTGCAATTAATTAGTGGCAGCCGGCAGAGTAAAGTTGAATTTGTGTTTTTAATTTGACTAAATAGATGCAGCTACCAGGCGGCGGAGTGTGTGTATAACACAACGGATGAGGAGTGTTAGCAGGGGGCGTGGCATAGTTCTGGCCAAGTATTTTCGCTAGGCGCGAAATGCAAATGCTTGACCCAATTGGCAAGGGGAGGGGGGGGTTGGGGATGGGAGGTCAGAGCGGAATATAGGATACGAAAAAAAGGCAGAAAACAACTAAAACACCGACAACAAAATCATTTAAAATGTTTTTTAGGGGAGGCCGTAAAACTTTTCCCCCGGGCTTTTTGCGAAGACAACTTGAACACAATTTGATAACCTACATTTGGGGGTCTTGGCAACATTAAAAATTTACACATGACGAACTGAGGGGCGGTGGGCGTGGTCTGGGGTGGGCTGTAGTGGGGTGTTATGGCCTCAGTGCAAAAGTGGAACGGAGTGTTTCCTCAGTGTCCTTGAGCTCTTGTTTTTATTTGGTATTAAGAGCATGTCAAGTGAGTCTGGCAAAAAAGAGAGGCTGAGGCAACCAGCTAAGTGAGTTTTTGTTGTTCTTACTTGTGACAGGAAACGGATGTGTGTGTGTGTGTGTTGGAGAAAGGGGAAGATTGTCTCCGGAGGTAGGCAAAGACTTTTGTGGGTAGCAAAAGTCTTTAAGTCTTTTGCCTTAATAGCTTTCAGTTTGCGACTTTCCTGGTCACAACCCGGCCTTATTTCATGGCGTTACCCCTTCTTTTGCCACGAATACCCCCCGCCCACTTTCCTCACACCCTTCCTGTTCGCCGTGAGTTATTGTCGTGCGATTTATTACGCGACGCACTGTTAGCAGCCTTTGGGGGGCCCACATGGCGTATGCGTAACGTATAGTCGTGGTAAAAACTCACGTAATGTGCAACATTTACCCCCCGCTGTTTGTTGCCAGCCCCTTTTGATTTATTCAGCCAGGTGGCATACTTTTGACCCATAAAGCTGTGATTTTTTGAAAACCTCGAAGCCCAACCCCTGCAATTTGAGCAGTAATTCAATATTCCGCACCAAAAACTCAAATTAGTTCTAGCATATACACTCATTTTATAATGAATACTTTTTAGAATGCTGAAAAAATTGTTTTAATTTTATATTTTAAATATCCTATTGATTATTCTTTTCCAAAAATTTTAAGGCTAATCATGTTCCCTTAAAAGTTATACATACAATTAACATTAGATAAACAAAAATCATTCTTAGAGTTGTTTAAATTGGATATTCACTTGTATTATTATGGTTTTAAAATGTATTTCAAGTTTAAAAGCCATCGGTTTCAACTATAAAAAACTATTATAAACATATATTACTTTTATTTATCAATCATACCACGAATTGTTAGTAATAATTTCCGTTTCTCTCAGTGCAATTAAATGGCTAGCGTGTCTGCTGTCAATTACTGGTGTTGTCATTAGTAAAAACACCACTCGGAAATTAATAAAGATTTGCACAGGCGCAAATCGGTTTAAAAATATGTGCAAACGCTTTGATTATTCATTCACAAAACCCAAGAGGCCCGAAATTCCCAATGAGATAGTGCGTAATTCGTGACTGACACAGATTTTTCCTATTCGCTTTTCCGCTGATTTTCCTTTTTTTTGCGCACCCAAACAACAACAACAACAACGAAAGCAGCGGTTGTTGGGGCAGCATAAAAATGCCAAAAATTTCCCTGTTCCACGAACACTCATACAAATATTGACCGAATTTCACTGGCATTGGTTCTCCACCAGAAAATTCGATTGTTGTTTTTGGGCGATGCTGTGTCTTCTGTTTGTTTTTGGAAAATTTACCTCGGATTTTGACTGGAAAAACAAGCAGTGCACACCACGTGGCCAAGTTGAAGTCAATGTCGGTTTTTCTTATTTTCAATTTTTTTTTTATTTTTTGGCTTTCTAATTTGTTGGACACGACACGCTCTGGTTGAAAGTTTATTTTTTGGCTATACTCTTGTTGATTTTATTGACACACACTCACACACACGCGCGACTGCCCACGCACACACTCTCAGGAGAGAGAGAGGGAGAGAGAGAAACGGATAGAAAGAGGCGGAGAGAGAGAGCGAAGGATATATGGCGAATTATTCGGGCGCTTGGAACGTCTCACTTGGCGAAATCCTCGAATGGCACTGAGCTGGAGT